TGAGTGATCTTAGTTATAAAAATGGCATTTAAATATGTTTAACTGAAAGTCATTAATAAAATAAGATTATTATATGGAATTTTATGTCAAAACAAGACTTCCTTTTGACCTACAATGATGTCATGCTTTTGATAATTTCAATGGTGACATTATTACTAATGTAGAGATACATTTTTTACTCATTTGTATATTTCCCATCTACCAGTAAATCACATGTAAAGGGTAATTATGGAAGTATCTGTGGTTGCTCATTCAAAGTGGAGAGGAGAATAAAAATACATTGCAACGTGCTGAGCACAAGTATTTAGCAAACACGTAGTGAGCACCCGATAGGAACCAAGTGCCTGTCCCAGTGATTGCGAAAGACTGTGTGGTTATGGAGCCCGTGGTGCTTACCACCCAGCAACAAGACAGACACCAAACAGTTAACTGTACGGGTCATTCAATCACAGTTATTACGGGTGTTTCAGAGAAAGTGCATGGTGTATGCTATCTCCAAATTAGAACATTAGAACGTTCATAAAGTTCTTTTTTTTATTTTTTATTTTGGGTATTATTTCTTCTTTATACAGGATTCATGGTAGTGCTACTGGTAAGAAAATAAACACCTTAATATAGATACTTAGATAACATATTTGTGATTTTAAAAGAAATGTGTACCTATTATGGAAAATGTGTGAAATTTTTTGAAGTGTAAAGAAAAAAAAGGCAAATATCCATAAAGTTACCACCCAGAGATAACCACTCCTTATATTTTGACACATTTCCTTCAAGTCATATTTCTGCACGCATTTTATGGATATTGTTGAGTCATAATTTTATCTTTTTTTTCCACTTATGATTAACTCATACACGTTTTCCTAGAAGATAAAAGAAGAAGGTTTTTCACTATCCTCAACTTCCTTGAAAGTGATCTGCCCTACAACTGTAGCACGCATATTTCAGGTCATTTGAGAGACCTTAGTCTTATTTTGTGAGGATAAGGAACGCTTTGCAATAGCTGGGCTCGCTCTTCTGGTTGACTACTGGCTGAGTTACTGCAGTGCTCTCCTAAGAGGTGTCTCACCCTTTGGTTCATCCTCTTCCAGATTTTCCAGAATTGTCTTCTTAAAACACCACTTTTTACAAGTCACTTCCTTCTCCAGAGTTTTCAGTAGGTGGGCTTTGGATTAGAGCTCAACTCAGTCTGAAATCACAGGCCCGTCTATAAGATCCTGTCTGTCCATTTTCCTCTCTCTCCCTCCCCCGTAACATTGACTCTGCTCCAGGAAGACCTCAGACAACCACATAGTGACCTTTAATTCCCATTTCATTCACATTTAAGTGCTTTCTCCTTCCAATATTCATTTTATTTCACTATCTCGACTCTTTTTTTGAGGTGCTAACAAACATTTCTCGATCTTTCCCCTCCTTATTATGGCACACACCACTGGCGGCACCCAGTGTGCGCCTTTTACTACTTTCTCTAATTGTTTGATGTGCAAACATATTTTCTTCTTATGCTGAGCTCATAACATGAATCTAGGCAGGAAGACAACTCCTACCTCTGGCCACCCACCATCACTCTGTCATACCAGCTAATACTAAGGAGCATTTAGTATATGAAAGATAATATGCTAAGTACTTAACAGACATTATCTCATCTATTCTTCACAAAAGTCTGTGTCATTTAGGAATGCTTTGGGCTGCAGATGACGGGGGACCCAAGGTGTCTAACAATGCCCAAACAATACAGACTTATTATTTCTTATCTCATGTAACAAGTACAAAACCTGGGGGTGGGTGGTTCCCACTTTGGCTTAGGAGTTCTCTGATGTCAAGATTCTGGTTTGGCATTTCTTCAAATTTCCTCACCTTCCTCTATTGTTGCAATATGGCTGTAGCATCTCCCGGCCTCACATCCCAGAAAACCATGCTCAAAGTCAGGTAGGAAGAGATGCGGTAGGAAGGAAATTTTCCCCAAGACATTCCCTGGCCGACTTCACCCACATCTCATTGATCAGACTGGGTTATATAGCCACTAGGCCCTCCTTTCAAAGGGCAAGAAATCTCAGAATAACACCTAAGCAAAATCAAGAAGAAAGACAGTAGAAAATGGGTTGTTTTTGTGCAGGCAGTGAGCAGTACTAGGAAATTAAAGCTCAGAGAGGTTGAGAAATTTGTGCCGGATTATACAACTAAAAAGTGGGAGAAAAAAGATTCCAAATCAAACTTTTTTGAGTCTCTCAGAGTCCACATCTTTGTTCCTCTATGGCCCTTCTAAAGAGTTTTAACATCTTACTCAATTCATCAAAAAATAGTAAGTACCCACTGATGCTCAGCACTGTCCTTGCTGCTGAAGGAGAACTAAGAATAGAATCTCGTTGGAGACACAAGCCCAATTCAGATAGAACAACTAGAATACACAAGAGTATTCTAGGAGTGCACTGAGGATTGCAGAAATGAGACAGGATTTCATGAAAGTTCTGAGGTGTGAGATTTGGATCAGTAGGGAGAAGGAAAGATGACATTCTCTTTGAAAAGAAGAGGTGAGTGAAAGGAAGGAGAGAAAAGTGAGCAAAACGAATCCTAGGCACATTCGCTATTGGCTCAGCAGACTCTGTTGCTGCCATAGTGTGGTCAGGGAACAGTGGAAAAGATTGGTCACATAGACATTGCCAGCGGGGGCCCTCCAGGGGACTGAGGTTGATAGAGGAGAAAGATCTAGATTAGCAAGCAATAGCAGAAAACTGACCAAGGACCAAGGGATATTAAAACCTGTAAAACAGTGAATGGCTGCCTACCAATTTTCTTTGGTCTCATAAGGATCTTAATTGTTGAAAGATCATTGATGGGGGGTGGGGTGGGGGTGGACATTCAGCTTTTTTTCATTACATGACCTGAGATCTTCCAGCAGTTAAACACTCAAATACAGCCATGTGCCGTGTAACGTTTTAGTCAATGATGGACCGCGGACACGATGGTGGTCCCATAAGATTATAAATGGAGCTGACAAACTCCCATTACCTAGGGACATTGTAGCCATACTAAAGTCATTGTAGTGAAATGCATTTCTCCGTGTTTGTGTTGATGCTGGTGGAAACAAACCAACTGTGCTGCCCATCATATAAAAGTATAGCACACACAGTTATGTACAGTGCATGAGGTACGTGCCCCTAGAGGGAACCGAACCTGGGACTCTCTGGTTTGCAGGCAGATGCTCCAACCGCTGAACCAAACTGGCCAGGGCAAATGTATGCTCTTTATACTAAAAAAAATAAGTTTGCGATAAAGCATTGTGCCGTGAAACATCGCAGCAGCCTCACTCATCCCGTGCTCCTTGAGTATATCGTGTTCTCTTCTGCTTGATTTAATCTCATGTTGTTTTGCACCAGCTTGTAGCATAGGAGCAAAGGGCTAACCCATATAACCGAGGTGTGTAGTAGGCTGTACCATGTATGTTTGTGTAGTGTGCTCTATGATGTTTGTACAACCACAGAATCGCCTTGTATGGCATTTCTCAGAGCTTATCCCTGTCATTAAGAGGCACATGACTGTTGTGCTAGACAAACTTTCTGGAGAACACACCTGTGCCATTGTCCCTGTAATGATAACAAGAGGTTTGGGCTAAGTAACCCCACTCATTTTTGACCGGAATCTCACACTAGCAAGATGAGGTAAGGATAATTCTGGCTCTGTGAACCACAGCCAAGCTCAGAAGGAGCTGACATAGGACTCAAATCCACAGGCTTGGTTTCACTGACACTCCAGATTGTCAGCCCAGTTCTCCATACACAGACATGGAGCTTCCCACACCAGTAAGAAGCATCCTACCCCTTGGGGATTTCCTGAACATAGAAGTAAAGGGAATCGAAGTGAAGCCATCTTTACAATGTTGCAAACACTTTTCAGTAAGCTCTAACAATATGAATATTTTCAGACTCAAATTATATTTTCTTTTTTTTTTTTTTTTTTATCCTCACCCGAGGATATTTTTCCATTTTTTTTTGTACAGATAGAGTGGGAGGGAGAGAGAGGAAGAGAGAGACAGACAGAAACATCGACGTGAAGGGACACATCGAGTGGCTGCCACACGCACGACCAACCAGGGCCGGGGACAAACTGCAACCGAAGTACGTGCCCTTAGCGGGAACCGAACCCGGGTCTCTCCAGACCGCAGGCCGACGCTCTAACCGCTGAGCCAAACTGGCCAGGGCTCAAATTATATTTTCATGCATATATTTTATTTATTTTTTGTTCCTCAAATGCCTTTGGTTGGGTCTAAAAGAAAAAAATCTAGCAATTCTCTCAACCAAGTTTTCAACACCACAATTTCCCATCAACACCCATGATTTACTCAGAGTTCAAAATCAAATTCAAGTACACTGTGGATTTTCACTGTTCAATAGGATAAGATCTGTGTTCTAAACAAGGTCAAATGAAAAGTGCCTTGGGTGTAGCTGGTGACAGGAAATTAGGGTGGAACCCAGAATTATTCAGGACACTATAGCCTGAGAAAAATGCAAGAATTCAAAATAGATAATTTCAGACAAAGAAAAATAGTGGTTTTCTTTTCTTCCCATGACCAAAGGGTCCCTTGGGGGTTATCAGAAGCAAAAGAAAGAAGTCCATTGCCTCTCTGTACTGCAAAGAGCCCACAGGCCAACCCCGTGGAAAGCCAGAGGGGTATTGTAGAGTTTAGTGCTATCCTTGGGCACAGGTGTAGAAAAGGACAATTGAAACTGAGGCTGACCGACTTTAGCTGATGTTCACAGGCATGTGTAGATATTGCCAAAGTCATCAGTTTCTGCGTGACGTCATTCTCCCAACACATTTCTTAAACGAAGCCTTGGCAAATAAGCATTTCTATCGTAGTGATGCCTTTCTGAGTAAAATGTTGAATCACTCAAAGGATACAGATTAGAAAGAGAAAGAGAGAGAAGGAAAAAAAAAAAGCTCTGTGGGAGGGGCCAAGCTTTATAAAACCAGACATCAGCATGTCTGCACTCCGACGACTCCTGGAGGACCTTCCCTGTCTTACAGCACCTCAGAGAACAGCCAGGTATGTCAGAGAGTTCCACGCCACCTCTGTGAAACATCGCTTCATTGTTGCTCTTCCTTTATACCGGGGTCACTGCTATAATGGAATTTAAAATGTGGAATGTTTTTAGAGGATGAGTAAAAATGTAATGGTGTTTGCTTGTTGAGTTGTTGAACTGAAAATATCTTAGTTCAGTATTGGAACTAAAATGTATGGCAAGACTTAATCTTGAGTCCCAGAAGTCAGCAAATACCTATGTAGCATTAACCAAACCAAAATGTCCGTTAAAGTTGTGAGGCTAATTTTATTGAACAGGTTAGAATATGTATATTCTTTACTCGCTCGTGTTTTGACACTGAATTTAGTAAGAATCGCTAGGTTGATTGAAGTATATTAATTTAAGTAATTGAAAGTAATCTATCAATTGTACGTAAACATTTAAAAAGTTAAAAGATGACTGAGTTTTCATCTAAAATAATCAGGAATTAACCAGCTTTCTGGGTTGGATCAGTTCAATACCAGGATATATGTATTGAATTTAGTCCAATAATTGGTCAATTTAGTGAGAGGGAAAAATCAGCCAAACTTGTGGTTGAATTGACCGAAGTAATAGTTTAATAAATGATTTGGTACTCCATAAACAAATAATTGTTCACTATGAAAGTCATCAAATACCAGAAGCTGGTTTTTATTTTGTGTGTGTGTGGGAGGGGGAATGGGGGTAGAATTTGGTCTTTTTGGACAGGAAGTTTTCTTGGAATTATTGTGTTCTCTTTGTTCTCATTGATTTCTGTGGTCAATTTCAAACTATTTGCACTGTGTAGTCACACACACAAAATATGTTTTAAATGCCACAGCAAATTTAAATCTAGCATCCAGGGCCAGCGAGCAGAGGGACTGGGTAGTGTGCCTGGCGGCCCTCCCAGGTTCCTCGTCACTGGTGCCAAGTTTCAGTAGCACCTCTGTCAGTCAACTTGTGTAGCAGGAACTGCCACAAATGTCATGCAGCCCAGCCCCATGTGTGTTTTCCATCCGTTCTGCTCAAGGATAATATTAAACATTAATTATGAGCATAATACTTAGGAGCTAGGGAAGTTGTATAATGTACTATTGTTAAGAAACTCACAACAGGTGTTACCTGTCCAGGTAGATTATGCTACTTGAGGTCTCTCTGTGAATTTAATTTTACAATGTCTTAGGCAGATTCCCACTCAAATGTAAGCCATGGACTTGTCTGAGGGTCAAGGGACACTGTATGTGTGCCTTCAGAGATTTCTAAAACTGTAAACTTCTCAAATGTCATCTGAGGGGTTTGTAGGAAAAGCCCTAGTCTTGCAATGAGAAGGCTGAGATTTAGTTGAGGCTTTGAAACCGACTAGCTGTGCAATCTGCATTTTCATATTTTCCTCTGTATAACAGGAATTACAAGGCTTTACTGGGTAAGTAACTCTGCAAGTTAGACAAAACAACATGGTTGAAGAAATCTGGTAGCTGCAATATAGACAGCAGATATTATTTTTTATGGTAATGCAGTTAATTGCACCTTATTTTAAAAATAAAATTTAGACTATTTCTAAAAGAGTCAATGCATCTGGGACAATTTAATTTTGTCCTTATATCTTTTTTTTCTTCTGTGTAAAGTAACCTGAAATCCTAACTTGGCTTTAAACCCTCTCTGCTAGTTTGTATTGACACTTAAACTTTGTTAGTGTCCAGGTGACTGAGTATACATGTGATTTATTATAAAGAATTAGGGGCAAAAGAAACTTACATTTACTTTTCTGGTTCTGATCTATTATTTATTTTTTCACATGGGAAGAAATAAATATTTTATTTATTAATTCTCAGTTTGTTTCCAAAACATTGAGATAATTTACAAAAAACATCTACCCAATAATACTAAATAATTATAAAGACTCTTCAAAATTAGAAAAAAAAGAGGGAATAGATTTCCAAGCCACTCAAATCTAATCTCAAATCTAATCTCAGTGATGAAGCAAGAGAAAAAATATACTATCTATTTTTTTTTTAACCTAGAAAGTCTTCTAGGAGCATTACAGACTTGTAAACTTCCTCTTTTTATTTCCTCTTTCTAGCATTTCTCAAACGAGAAACTTGCCTAAACTCTTACATTGAGGAGTGAAAGTGAACACCAGCAGGGGAGGCAGAGAGGGAACTAGGCAGAGTGGGTTTCGGAAGCAGACCTAGGCCTGAATCCCTGCACCAATACATTCAAACTGTGTTACCTTATACACGTTAGTTGACCTCTCTGAGCGTCAGCATGGAGCCTATGCCTTCAATGAATAGTGTCTGTCTCATAGAGATCCTGTGAAGATTCAATGAGAAGAGGTGAGAGAGTTTCAGGGACAAGTTTTACTTAATTTACTATTTTGCCTTGATAACATACAACCGGGTGGTATTTCACATGAAAAATGTTGATGCAAATTGCCGTCATTTTCTTAAAAAGAAATGTTCATGACCCAAGTGTACACATAAGACGTCGGTGGATTAGGCAGAGCAGAGAGCACGGGCCCTGGTCCGGGAGCCCTGCTCAGTGAGCCTAGAGGGAGCTGCGGGGCGTGCCTCCTCCTGGGCCTCCCAGCTCCACGAAACCACTTCCACAAGAAGGTTTCCTGTGGAGTGGTGAGTGTCAGCATCGTTCGGTGTACGCATATGTTGTGGTAATTGTAGGGTGTGTTCCAAGTCATTGCGAAAGCATAGCATACAACCAGAAAGATGATCATTGGCCAGTACCCACAGATACCCCCACACACCCGGGTGTGTCCACGCATTTGGCTTCGTGTGAAGCCTTTGGTCATGGAAGGTGTGTCTGTCATATTTCTTTAGATGTTTGTTCTGGTGTGTGTGTGTGTGTGCAGATATGGGCGATAGGACTAGGAAAGCCCCAATCCTCAAACAATGAGTCAAAGCCACCTTCCAGAAGCAGGAGATTTGAAAGAAGGTTTGCCATCTCAGCCGGGCCAACACAAACATGTATACATGTGGCAGATGTTTGAATATGTGGATTTGCCTGTGTGTGGGGTGTGTATTTGCAGGTGCAGCATCGAGGTTGAGAGCATGTCCCTGGGGGCCACTCACATGGCTTCAATTCCTAGTCCTGCCCCTGGTCAAGTGACACTGGTCACTTTCTTGTCCCCTGTGTGCAGCAGTGTCTTCTTCTGTGAAAGAGGAATTCGCCTTGCCTCCCTCACAGGGTTTCAGTAATGGTGTGTACAGGTGAAATGTTTAGAACAGCCTCTCTTGTATAGTAAGATTCAATAAATGCCATTTATTGGTATTGATGTTATTATCATGATTATGATATGAAGTGTCACTACTCATCATGTAACTGCTCACTATGTCTCAGGGTCAGGTACATAATTTGTAGAATCCAATGCAAAAGGGAAATGTAGAACGCCTTGTTTAAAATCATTGAGAATTTCAGGATGGTGACAGCACAGCTTGGCGCCCATATGGCTGCATTGGTCACGTGACCCTAATGCTGTCCCTGCTCTACTTTGTGTTGTCCCATGAAGGAGGAACAGAAAAGGAGCCCCCGCCCTATGCAGGGTATAGCCTGTGCCCCTCTGTTGACATCACCCAAAATATTGTCTCATCCTTTAGAGCTGTTTTCTTCCTTCCTTTTCTTCTAGACTAAAACAATGGAAGACGTTTATGTGGCAAACACAATCTTTGCCATCAATTTCTTCAAGCATCTGGCAAATACGAACACCACCCAGAATCTCTTCTTCTCTCCGTGGGGCATCTCATCCACCATGGTCATGGTCTACCTGGGCGCCAGAGGCAACACTGCAGACCAGATGGCCAAGGTACGTTTCTGTCGACGCTCTCCATTAGGGCTAAAGGATTCCTGAACCAAGTCGCAGAACTGCTCTGATCGTAAGCTTCCGATGTCTTGACCATCTCGAGGTCAGCAATCATCACCTGCCATTACAACAGGAGTCCCTTAGATTCAAATCTACAGACCAGCCAAATCTCTCCCCATCAGTTATCGATAGCAGCAGGCACCCCAGAGTTTCTTACATTGCAGGGCTGGAAGTTACGAACAGTGACATCTTACATTATACTGATGTTTATGGCTTTTAAATGTTTTGCATGCTGTGTACCTCTTTTGGTGTTAAGACCAGTGCCATTTTGCAGGTGGGAAGACTGGCCTGTGAAGGCAGCACCTTCCCTGGGTCTCCTAAGCTTCCCTCACCTCTAGCTCAGGCACCTTCTACTGCTTGGCCACTGCCTTGCGTTTGTTCCCCATTCATGCAAAGAATTTCTCCTAGAGACTTTGAGAGTGTCCCGAAGAGAAAACAATGCACCAGAACTGTTGTCACCACGCTCTTGGAGATACACAGTGAGCAATGTTGACTCAGCCATGTTATCAACCCCGTGAGATTATGTCAACAAAATGGGGCCTGGTCTGATGGCCAGTCTTAGAAATCAGGATGGACAGGGTGTGGGACAGTGGCTTCCTTCCTGGGTGAGTGCACACAGGCTCAGTCAGGGGACCTCTGTTCTGACTCCAGGGCCTTGCAGACACACCGGACTCCTTCAGCTGCACATTGTAATATACCTGTGGGATGAATTCAACACACTGAATTCAGGATCACAGTTCGCATGATCCTATTATTTCCTAGGTCGGCCACCCAGATGAGGTCATCCTATAATTAAAATCCATTTACATACACAGGTACACACACATTAAAACAGAATGTTCTGGGTCCTCACCGGCATGTATTGTGCTTTCAGTCACACCAAAATGCTGCTGGCTACTTTTGGGTTTCCCATGAGAAGCGTACCTGAGTGTGTATATATATCCTTCCCGGGTACACAGTGACCCATTTAAAATGGACCTTGTTTGAAGAAAGAGCGTGTTGGCCAATGTCCTTGCAAGAGGCAAGGGACGGCTACATTACTCCCTGTGTTTGTGGCAGTTTAAAGATCGAGATTACAGCAAACGCAGTTGCTCCACTCTGATACCAGCCGCATTTTGCAACCCTCTTCCCCTTGGTTTTCTTTGCCTTGAAAAAACAAAGAGCGAACTGCAAGGGCAACTTTAGAAAGCGTCAGGGTTTTCCTTTTCTTAGTGCGAAGACATCCCTAGCACTCAGAAGCAGTCTTTTGAGAGCAAATGCTAAAGGAAATGCTCTCGATTTTTAAAATAAAAAATTGATTTTGATAACAAAATGCAATTAGCTTGTAGGTCACTCTGGGCACAAGACAGCCTCACTGTACCCGGCACGTGCTTGAGCGTGGGGACTATGCCAAGAGGTTATATTGTTTTATATGAACTCTGCTGCACATACGGATTTTAAAATTCAAAAGCAGATTTGGTGAATTTCCCACCAAAAAGAATAGGAGAGGCTCTCTGGCTTGGAGGAGGAAGCACACACTTTGGGGACAAGACCTATCTGTGTTTGAATGGTGGATTTGCCACACTTTACGAGGTGTGTGACTAGGGGCATCAAAGCTCTCTGAGCCTAGAGACCAATGACCAGTTGATAGGTTAGTATACAATACCTCATACTGAGTCTCGTGAGGAATTTCAGTTGGCTGACACTTACATATTACATATAAAAAGTATCTATGCTTGTACCCCATACACCATGGCAGGGAACTAGACGTAGGGCCCCTGTTGGCCATGGATTAAAAGTTAAGTAATGTAGCAGGAAAGTGTAACCATGCTCTCTAATTCCAATTGTAGGTGCTTCAGTTTAATAAAAATGGAGTCAATGAAGTGACCCCCGTGAACTTGGTGAACATGTCTGGTTGTGAAATCATGCAGCGGATCCAGGTCTCTTATCCCGATGCTATCCAGAAGGTATCTGACTCATCCATTCATACTCCTTTGTATTTTATTTCTAAAACCTTCTTGTCTTAAAGCCACAATGTTAGCCTGAGAAGGAAGCTAGTACAACTTTCTCCACTCCCAGAAACAAAACAAAACAAAACAAAACAAAACAAAACAAAACAAAACAAAACACGAAGACTCACAGGCCTTAAGTAAATATTTTACGGTCCTGTCACTAAGAAAGGAGAGAAGCAGAGCAGAGTGCAGACTTCCTGACTTCTAGGCCAAGACTCTTTCCAAGTTCGGTCACACCGTCCTGCCACTGGTTGGATTTGTGTAATTTATTATAAAACCACGGTAGGGGAGACTCCTAGAGTCCACACACCTGACTGCAGGCTTACAGAGGGGGAGGGCAAGGAGTGACAGACGGCTAGACGTGAAGGGCGTGCTCGTTACTTCACGAGAGGCCGGTGACCTTTCTATATCCCTCATCCATCTATCTATCTATCTATCTATCTATCTATCTATCTATCTATCTATCTATCTATCTATGTAGCTATCTATGTAGCTATCTATGTATCTATCTATCTATCTATCTATGTATCTATCTATGTATGTATCTATCTACCCACCCACCCATTTTCTATCTATCTATCTATCTATCTATCTATCTATCTATCCACCCACCCATTTACTGTCTGTCTATCTATCTATCTATCTGTCTACCTACCTACCTACCTACCTACCTATAGCTATCTACCTCAGGTAGGTATATATATATATATATATCCAGTTCTTATTATTCAGCTGGATAGCTGATAATTAAGGAATTGAGTAATATATATATCTAGCTGAATAATAAGAACTGGACACAGATGTGTTCTTATTGGTAACCAGCTTCCTTAAGTACACACTTGAGTAAGGTTATGTGGAGATATCTCCCGTAGCTTCCTACTTGGGAACACTAATGTTCCATCTGGCTGTTACCCGGGAACTATGAGCTAGAGGAGGTGAGGAAGACCCATACACCAGAGACAGTTGGCAGTCACCTGCAAGGCTCTGTCTTCTGCTGTGCCTGAGTCCCATATCCATCATCCAACTTTAGGTACACTTCTATGACACGTGATCTATATATTGTGTCGTGTGCCCACCACTCAAAATCAAGTCAGTCATCTTTTGTAAAGTAATATTTACAAAGTAACATTTTAATATATTAAAAATTCCTTAGAGACCTTAAAGCTTAAGAAACTATTAAAAGAGCCTGGGTTCCTTCTAGGATGTTGGTTACTTTATGGTTAAATCAAATCCATGGGCAAAATACGAAACAAGTAGAACAGTAGCTTACTGGTTTTGCATTGCATCCATAGCAAAAAGTATTTCCTCAGAGATTCCTCCAAAGTACTAGAAAAAGTCTATGTTAGCATAACACTTTTTTGTTGTATAGAAAAATACCATTGCTTAAGAAATAGCTTGCTCAGTGGTCTCGCGTTTCATAAAGAGGGTCCCTCCTTTGTGTTCAAGGCTCAGGCTGAAGACACAATCCATTCCGGCTTCCGTGCTCTCATCGCTGCCATCAAGGGGTCCAGGGGCAGCTACATACTGGAAAGTGCCGATAAGCTGTTTGGAGAGAAGTCTGCAAAATTCAGGGAGGTAAGTACAGTCAATGGAATGGCAGGGCCCTGACCCTGGCGCGAGGTCACGTTGGAAGTTGTCTAAGATTCATACTTACGGGGAGAGTCAGAACTGGCCAGGCCCCCTCAGGCTCCCTGAGGCCACTGGTCTGCGCAGTGTCCCTAAACTCCCCCGTGGTGCTTCTCCCTGCTGCCAAAGCCCCCCTTGCAGGGTTAGGGCGGAGGAACACAGCTGACTTCCAGAGTCAATATCTGCAAGCCCACCTCCCACTTACTCTGTGTCTAAGATGTGAAAAATGCAAGAGGGCAAAGCTGGAGCTGGAGAGTGGGGAGGGGCCCACTGAGTGCCTGTAATCTGCACTGTTTGTTTCTCTAGCGCCTCCCATAGTCAACCTCCGCCCCCTCCCCAACCTCAGGAACCCAGTCTTGACGGGAAGCCCAGAATTCACAATTACACCAAGGCTTGCTCAGTATACGTTCTAGGTAACCTCCTGCATTTTTCTTGCTTTAAAGGAATACCTACAGCTCTCTAAGAAATACTACTCTGCAGAACCCCAGGAAGTCGACTTCCTTGAATGTGCAGAAGGAGCCAGAAAAAAGATTAATTTCTGGGTTGAGACTCAAACCAAAGGTAAAACCAAGGAAATATTTTCTGCTCTTCTACCTACTTAAAAAACTCTGATCTATTTTTTTAAAACCATCCTTGAACTTAGCCCTTCATCTCCTAAAATTCATTCAACCTTAGATATTTTGGTTAATGCAACTTCCTTCTTATTTAGCGGAGCGATGTTTTAATTGAGGTCTACTAATAGAAGATATATGTTCAGCACTCAGATAATTGGATTTTGGATAGTATGTTAGAATAGAATATGGGAGATGGCGGATGTTTTCAAACATAGGAAACATTTGCATGGAAATAATCATGACACTCTGTCCACCGTGCACAAAAAAACAATGAAAAAAGGATTTTCTTCACTTCTGGGTTTAAAACATCATTTCCAGCAATAGTTTTGTGTCTTGGTTTATTAGCTACCATAATGGGGGGAAAAGCATGTGAACTAAGTCCTATAGAAATTAAAAATATTTTTTTCTCTCTGAAAGCAGTTGAGCTATTTATATTACTTCATTTCCACTCTGGATTTTTAAACCGCTGTTGTAAAACACCGACAGACTACGGCCGTAAAGGAGGCAGGAAGAGTGAGGATGAACAGAAGTGAAAGTAAAGGCACAGTGCAAAATCAGAGACACTGAACGTTTTGCTTTTTGAGAACAGCATAGATGTCCTCCTTGAGCATTGCGGTGAATGGCCGTAAGGGAACGGGTAGTATGGCCAAAATGCCAACGAGCTACTGGGGCTGATTGCTTCACCAATTTTTACTTAAAAAATGGAGAGAATTTTCTGTTTTATTTGTTATGATCAAATACGAGTTTTGTCACATGCATCATAAAGTTAAATAAAATGTCAGTAGATTTCAGTAGTAATCACGAATTTTGATTGCCTGGGGATATATCGAGTGGAGAGAGTGAATGGATATATTGAAGCTGGTCAGACTAGAGTGACCTTTTTATTAATCCTTCTTCTGTCAGTAGGACTGGAGGGTGGAGGACTAGCTTACCAAGATTGTCACTTTGTAACCTCTCTCACCACGGTGTCCTTTTGTGTAAAATGACGCTAATACCTAAGAGAGTAGTTGTGAGGATGACATAAAATAATGTATTTAGTGGCTGAAATATTGCAGTATTCACTATAAATGGGCTGTTTCTTAAACCAAGTTAAAAAGTAAAAGCTATCACATTTGATGTTTTCATTTCTGAGAACCTTCTCTGGCTCACTCATTTATACCTTCTCTGTATTGTCATAGTGCTTCACATTGTGATAGAACTTATCACACATATTTCATAACTGATTTTGAATGTCACTTTCAGTAACACTCTCAGTCCCACCAGGACATTACCTCCTTGCTCAGCTCACAAATCTGCATTATTCCTGGTGTAGGTCTAGCCTAAATATCCAAAATATTGTTTTGAATGAATCAATGGGCAGATTCATTGACTCTCTCCACTAGATCTAGCAGGATCACTATGTGACATACAGTGGAAAGACACTATTATATTCCTTAAGAAACTCTCTTTTATTTCCATCTGAATTAAATAACTGTATACAACTACGAAACTGAAAAAAACAAACAAACAAAACAGTATAAAAGGAAGCGAAAATCTCCATGGCAAATTTGATAGTAATTCTAAAATGTAAATGCATTATGTCTTCATTTTCTCTTGAATTCTGAAACCCTTCTGAGGAATTTGCTCTGATATTTACTTACATTTTAAATATCAAGAGAAAAACTTGAGCTTGAAGATCAACATCTCTGTAGAGTTTGACAAATGTGTCTGCCAAGTTTAATGGCAACTCAAAAGATTCAAGACATTATAGTAATTTCACAGCTTTTGATCATGATGCCTAAATATACCTTTTTTTGTAGGTAAAATTCCAAACTTGTTACCGGGAGGTTCTGTAGATGCGGATACCAAGATGGTCCTAGTGAATGCTGTCTACTTCAAAGGAAAATGGAAAACTGCATTTGAGAAGAAACTCAGTGGACCTTACCCTTTCCGTGTGAACTCGGTAGGCGACAAGGCAGATGTTCCTACCTTGTATTGTGGGGCCTTAGACATGACAGAGAAAGGAAAAATAGAGACCTCTTGTTGATGTCACTATGTGATGTGCTAGTTATAAGTTATGGACATTGGACAGTTGATGAACTCTTTCACGTTTTTGAATATCACTCAGTAATTTTATGAGGTCATATGAGAAATGGTGAAAACCATGGGCTCTATACTTAAATCCTGGACTCAAATATAGACTCTACTACTTACTAGCTATAACCTTACTTATGTTCCATGAATTCCATTTTTATTTGTAAAACTTGGGTGATAATATACAACTCAAAAGGTTGTCGTAAAGATTCAGTGAGATTTATGAGAGTTCTTGGCCCATTGTAGGTACTAAACAAATGTTTTAGTACTATTATTATTGTCCCTAATGGGTATAATCTTGAAAAAGGTAATAACATCAGAGTACTGTACACAAATAATTTGTTTGTTGATTTTTAAAAACATATTTCTTAAACACTAAAGCAGAACCCATTCTCTTTTATGTCTAATTGTAAATCTCTTGACATCTTAGCATTAACTTTTATATTTTACTCTTTAATCGCTTTAGTCCCTGAGAAAACCTGTACAGATGATGCACTTGCATGAAAAGCTGAACATTGGATACATAGAAAACCTAAAGGCTCAGATTCTAGAGCTCCCTTATGCTGGAGATGTCAGCATGTTCCTGTTGCTTCCAGATGAAATTGCTAATGTGTCTACCGGCTTGGAGTTGGTAAGCCATTCCAACTTTGCTTTAGACTTCCGGGACCAAATTGACCTTTCATGATGAACTTATGTACGCCTTAGGAAATGGTGTGCACTTTCTTACAGACTTATGTGAATTAGTTCATAGTAAGTGTGGCATGTCTCAAACTTTCATCCAAAGCCTTATACTTGTGTACACAGGACCTTCTTGCAAAAATTTTACCAGTCTATTAAATTTTTATATCACCCAAAAAGTAGTGACATTAACATCACTGATGTTTTACATTAGACTTAGAAGTTGCTTTCCTTCTTTTCTAAGCACTCACTATTTTTTTTTTTTTTTTGGATTTGTAGCTGGAACGTGAGTTAACTTACGACAAACTCAACCAGTGGATCAGCAAAGCCACCATGGTTGAGGATGATGTTGATGTGTACCTCCCCCAGTTCAAACTAGAAGAGCACTATGAACTCAAACCCATTCTGCAAAGCATGGGCATGAACGACGCCTTCAGCAAGGGCCAGGCCAATTTCTTAGGAATGTCAGAAGAGAGTGACCTGTTTCTGTCCGAAGTGTTTCATCAAGCCACCGTGGACGTCAATGAGGAGGGCACTGAAGCGACCGCTGGCACTGGGGCTGTCATGACAGGGAGAACCGGCCCCGGAGGCCCACAGTTTGTGGCAGATCACCCTTTCCTCTTCTTCATAATGCACAAAACGGCCAACACCATCCTCTTTTTCGGCAGATTCGTCTCACCCTAAAATTGGAAGTTTCTGTTTTTCTACAGAATTTTGTAGTATGAGCTAGAAGCCTCAGAATTGCTTTAAGTACCAAAAATTTAGGGGCTTTTTCTATGTGTTTCTGTTCTCTAGAAAAACTTTTCCTACATACTAAATATAAATACAGAAATAACCAGACCACGGTCAATCACATTACAACCCTATTAATTGTCTGGTCTCTTAAAATGGGATGATGTCGTCTTTAGTGCTCCCTTACTCTTCGTTTATTTTATAGCAGTACATTTTATTATATTATTTATTATTTTATATAATTTTTATTATTGTTAGCTGTCTATTTAATGCACGTGATACCGTTACAGAAACAGGTGATCGGTTATGCTTCTTTCAAAGGAAGTGCATTTATTTGTTTTGAAGAGGAAGGAGGAGTAGGTGTTCCTCCATCCCCTTTTATGCTAAAAACCTAGAAGAAAGCATTGACCAACAGACAAATATATATTATGTGCATGTATAACATTATGTATTACATAGATGTGTCTGTAACTGATGGAAAATTACAAATATATAATAAATAAACATGTTTCCACACAACCGTTTATTTGTTGTCATTCCATTAGGTCTTCGGATCATGCGACCTGTTATAGCTTGATTCTCCGGACTTAATAAAGGAGCTAAAGAGATAACCGTCCCTTTTACAAGGAGTCCTACTCTTGGGGTGGGATGGAATTGTGTGGAAATGGCTTAGAGCTGCCTTCTTACAACAGCAAAAAGTGCAGCTATTCAGAGGAATAGTCTGCATTAGCGTCCTTTGGACACTGGTGTTTAAACCTCAAGAACGTTACGAATAAATGCAAAATCTAGTGGGCCATACGTAGAGAGTAAAGTCACAGTAAAGTCACAGTCATTGGTCTGAGAGGTCAGAGGCCTGAAGATGGGCTGGTGACAGAGCAGGAGTGGAAATACAAGACAGCTTCCTTTAACGATGCTCGCTCCCAATAGCACTCAATGCTTTTGAGTGGATCAGAGGCAGAACAGAACATAATTTAAGACCTAGGAACTAAGACATCTAAAGTTTGGGGTTAGGAGTCTGAACTGACTTGGCTGCAGAAGGATGGCTGGATCCTGGAAATGTATATAGTTCCACCCTCCCTATGATGGAAGGAAGGCAGGATGGTTGACCCATGGAGCATGGTGGCCTCAGGACTTGACTATCTGCATCTAAATTCCAGTTCTAACATTTATGAGTTGTTTAAGCATGGGCAAGAAATGGTGCTGCCTTTTTTTTTTTTTCTTTTTCTTTTTTTTGGTACTTGCCCCTGGCGGGAACAGAACTCAGGACCCTCTGGTCCGCAGGCTGATGCTTCAACCACTGAGCCAAACCGGCCAGGGCAGAAATGGCACTTCTTTATGCTTCTTTTCATTCAGTGTAAACGAGAGGAAATAATGCTTTTCTCATAGGGTTGCTATGATGGTTAAATGAATTCATGCATAACCAGCAATTAAAAGAATCCTTGGCATATCCAGTATTTAAAAATACTAATGATTATGATTATTACCTTTGTAAATAATAAGCTGTCTCTGGTTTTAATTACTTAGTGCTAGCTGGTCAAACATAGAATCCCAGAAAGTTATTCAGTTAAATTTTTGAAGGCTTGAATTATGATTTATTTTCTCTAAGACATTCCTGAAATTAGGGGTTCTTACTTCATGCATCCTTCTACTCACTTTTAGATTCATTTTGCAATGTACTTCCATAATTCATTCAGTGAGGCAGTAAGTAGTAGCTTTTTGAACTGTTGTGAGTCTTAAGTTATCCATATTCTACGCTCATTGTTGAGTTAGAGTATGAGTGAAGAATTCTAGGTTCAAGCACTTTTCAGTACTTGAAGGGTCTGATTTTATTATCTCTTGGTACCAAAGTTGCTGATGGGAAAGTTGATGTCAAGATCAATCTTGTTCCTTGTAGTTCTAAAAATTCTCTTTTTGTCTTTGATAATGGTCTTGAAGTTTGACTGCATTGAGTACTTTAAAAAATGTTTTAAAAAAATTAATCTTGTTCATAAGCAGCTTTATTCCATTTGCAAACTTGCATCTTGCTTCGGGGATGGGGAACCCTCAGCTATTGCTATGAACTTAACGTTTGTGCCCACTACCGTGTATATGTTGAAATTCTAATTTCCAATGTTATGGTATTTGAAGGTGGGGCATGTGGGAGTTAGGTTCAGGTTAGGTCATGAGGGGAGATTCCTTATGATGTAATTAGTGCCCTTATAAGTAGATGAAGGGAACCGAGCTTCCTCTCGCTCCCAGGTGAGGATACAGGGAGGAGACAGCGTCTGTGAACCAAGAAGAGAGCTCTCACCAAGAGCTCAACCATGATCTCAGACTCCTGTGCTCCAGAATTGTCAGAAATACATACTTGTTGCTTAAGCCTTCTAGTCAATGGTATTCTGTTATATCAACTCAAACGCAATAAGACAGCTATTATTCTGTTAATCGTCTCTTCCCCACTCTATCTACTTTCTTTTAATGGACTCTTATTAGAACAATATTGATTCACCTGGAGTTCTTCTGTTTTTTATTATTTTGCATACCTAATAAGTTCATGTTGTCTAAACATAAAGTATCATATAAAGGCTAGAACAAAAACCCTCCCTCCCACTCCTCTTCTCCATTCCTTCAGTTTCTCTCCCTCAATCCCCCCAGTAATATTTGCACATATTGCTAAATATATGTAGGGTAGGCCATAAATAACAACAACAAACAAACAAAATTATGCTAATATTATACTGTTAACTTAGAATACTATTAACCTCTTCCCTCATTGCCAAAGCAGGCATCAAAATAATGCACAACCATGTTTTCTATTTTCTTTTTTGATGTAGATATCTATTTGTAAGAATTTTAATCAAGAGGTTAAGTGGGAAAGGAATCTGGAGAAGGCTTTAGGGGAAAATAAATAAAACGTAGTCTGTGACTTGAAAGATGAAACCCTTTCTTGGCTCGTTCAGCAGCATCTGCATCGATGCATTTAATGCACACTTACTAGAGTGTCTTCATGCTGTGCAGAGAGGCAGTCCAAGTCACTCTGGTGGACTGCTGTCTGTCACGGTGGACAGTCCCTCTATCTAGAGGCTCCATATGATACTTGCAGCTAATAATAGTCTGGAGGCATCCGTGGATAGTAGTATCTGCTCAGCACGTGTCACGCAGACATCGCAGAATTTCCTGCCACAAGTCACCGTCCCTGGTGAAATCCAGAGGAACAGTCTATTCTAGGTTCCACACTAACATTCAAATATTACTCCTCGCCAGTTTACCAGAACTTATGTATGTCCCTAAGCAGAGAAAAAGAAAAACTGCATGCAGGGGAACATACCAGGTACGTCCTAAACACAGAGACTCCTCCTTTCCCTCCATCTCTTCTGGATTGTTCCTCCTGCCTACCTCTCCTTCACGCTCCCCTCCGTTCCTCCAGGCAAGCCATGTTGTGATGGAAACTGAAACAAGGAGCTATTCCCTTCCTTCTAATAAAGACGGTGGAGGAGCGAGGAGAACATTTACAGGGAGAAACACAAGGGAACCAGAAAGTGACGAAGCAACATCAGGCTCAGTAACTGTGTCTACCGCCCGGACCCAGACCCCTTGTCCCTGGGCCGGGGGATGGACATCTCACTCTTTATAGTTATTCTCGGGTTTCTACACTATGGCAGATGGGAAGAGGAGCTTTCTCAGTAAATACTCCATCAATAATATTTTAATGTTGTCGCTCATTGTTATCCCAGCAATTTGAAGCTTTCTATTTTTTTTATTTTTTATTTTATTTTATTTTTTAAGAAATAGTACTCTGGTTGCTTCCAACTGGCAGACTAGAGTAGAGATTAAGCAAGGGAAGTGTGAGTTATCATTTGTCAGAATTCAGGTCTCCACATGTGAACAGACATGGAAAATGTGGGTAATGAAAGAATTCAGGCAAAACCTTACTCATCCGTCTTTCTGACTTCTGATTTGAGCTTCTGGCCGAGATGAACCAGAGAGGAAGAATGTAAGGTTTGTGAAAGCGAATCAAAGGGGTGGGACTACAAAGAGGGAGGTGTTATCATTTTTTAAAAATTTCTTCCGTTAAAAGTTACTTAACTCAGCCACAATTTCTTACTGTAGGAACGAATTTCCAATTCTGCTCCAGCGGAAGAAAACAAGGTATTGTAAATACTCTTTTGTTTAAAAATGTTTATTTCTGTTCCCTTCTTTGTTGAAGTGCTTAGCTAAATAGCCAAGGATCAAGAGGCCCCGAAACAGAAATAGTATCTAGAACTCCGTTCCCCAAGAATTCTGTGCAAGTCAGGTTGAACCCTGAGCTGACTCAAAGTCTCTACTGGAAAGAGGGCTGCAGGGACGATGGTCTTCATTTCCAAAGAAGTTAGAGAAATCCTTTGACCAGGATTGCGAAACTATGGATGGAGTTTCTGGCAGTCACCTTTCTGGACTGGCTCCCTCTGTATCTGTCAACATAGGCAAAGAGAAATAGAATGCTCCCCGAATAATTGAGCCCAAACCCTTTGCTTGGCAATATGAATTCGAGCCGAGTCATTACGTGTGGAACTAACGATTTGACTCTCTCCCCCCCGTCCCCACCAGCATCCTGTCCTGGCCACCACCCCCTGAGCCGTTAGCTTTCTTCTGTTTCATGGAACGTCTAAGCCCCTACCCCACCCCACTTACATTAGGTGCTCATCATACAACACCCTGAGCTCTTACTCCCCTCAGAAAACGGCATTAGGTGAACAGAGGCAGGCTGGGGGGCTGGGGAGATGTCCTTCTGATCGGCGCAACCCCACGAAGTAGACGAAATCACCGCCAGGATCATCAGGAAGTCAAGGGACTTCACCATCCTCTTACGGATCAGGGCACGGGACTCCTTCCCACGCCCTCCTCTTCATCTCCTTTGCGCCTGCCTCCTGTTTGTCCTGCCTCATAGCCCAGTTCCTCCCTTTTACCGTTGCAGTCTTAGCGATGATGAGAGGCAGTGACAAAAGCCATTGCGTCCAGGGTCCAGAGAAGACTGTAGTTGTGATGCCACCAGGGAGCAGGCTGGTCGGCCCCTTTAACCTCGCGGGGCCCGAGAGTCCGACTAAATGCGGCAGATGGAGTCGAGGGCTCCGAGGCTCTTTCCAGTTCTGAAGTGCAGGGTGTGTGTCCCCAACGAGACATCCTGACGACAGAAACACCGTTCTCTTACTTGCATAGATCTCCAGCCTCTCCCCTAAGCCCCTTACAGATGAAGCAAAAGGGCATTTCACTCTGAAAATGGCACAGTAGGGTTCTCATCTAGAGATTTGTAGTCTTTTCTGAAAAAGAAAAAAAAATCATTGTTCAATCTTTATACGGACAAATGATTTCCCGTAAAATCACATCCTAAAATTTTGCATCCTTCAGAAAGCATTCTCTGTTGTTGGGTTACGTTTCACTAATGGCCGCTTAGCACTTCTGTAAATTTCTTTAAAAATATAAATAAGTAAAAGGTGTTTTCCTGCTATATCTGAGCTAATATATCTGGGCCACATCTGATTTATTAATAATGATATTAATGAAAGAACTCATGAAACAGAAGATAACTGGATATTAACTTTCCGCAAGAAATTAGCTCTTTCATTAGAGAGAATTGTTGGTTTCAGGAATGTGTTCTAAGCAACTAAATTCTAGAATAATCACAGGTAAAAAGCTAAAACATCCCAGACTGTAAAATAGTACTTTCTCCTCTTCTCTCTTCGTGGTAAGTATGGTGTAGCCAACCAGCCAACCAGCCAACCAGCCAACCAGCCAACCATCTTCCATATGAATGTAACTCATGAGCTGTAAAAGGAGAAAATGTGACATACAGGCAGCAAACAAAGCTTTATGTGAATGACTGTTTATCCTAAAGGTAAGAGGGCGGCTGTTTCCAAGTTGGCATTAGATCTGACAAGGGAAAAACTCAGGCAAGTTTCTAACATTCGATGAGGGTGTCAGGTGGTGTTTTTTCTTTAACAGACAGTGTCGGCCTAGGATTAGCATCAGCTTCTGGGAGAGGCAGGGGCTGCACGCGGGTGTGGTTTAGAGGCTGAGAAGCGTTTTGTTGTGTGAGAGACTGCAGGTAGGAGGGACTTCAACAGTATCACCTGACGCCAGGCCCGCTGAAACCAGGGCTCTGTCTCCACATGCCCCCCTTGATCCAGCTGTCTGGGGAGAGCACACCAGCCCTTCCCAGGTTCTCATTCTGAGTTCTCCGTGGGCCGGGTGGTGACAGTGCAGGGCTCAGTTCCCGACGGCATTAACACGCGGGGCACGGGCTAGGCCCAGCGACTTGGTGGAGTTCTAGTCATTTTACCAGGTTGAAAAATTATTCAGCTATAAAATGACAGTAAATTTAGCTATTTTGAAAAATAGGGACCTGGTCAGAAAAGACTTAAATTCAAATGTCAGGATAACTAAAGGTGATATTTAGAAGCTGAATATAATATCAGAGAGAGAGAGAGAGAGAGAGAGAGAGATAGAGAGAGAGAGAGAGAGAGAGAGAGAGAGAACACGAACCTGAGTCTCCTTTGTTCAAGGAGAACCCTTTCAGAGGGTCTCAAGTAAGTGAGAATAAAAGCAAAAAACCCTTGATTTCTTTACTTCTCTCCAAGCACTTCCCACTAAATCGTGCATGATTTCAAGTTTAAGCAGACAAACAACGGTGGCTAGAGCCCAGAAGGAGTGTGAAAAGTGAGTGTTGATACGCGCCCCGTTCGCAAAGGGCTGAGCAGGTGCTGTGAGTGTTCAGCGCAGCGTAAGAACATTTCGCTCTGGAGCAACGTCCCCGGAGTTGGAAAGCCGAACCCCAGGCAGACAGAGCAGCCGTGTGACCAGTGTCAGGGATGTGGCCAGAGCTGTGTGTGGGACCTTGCTCCCGAGCACCCCAAGGTCAGGACAAGCTTTCAGGGGAAAAGAGCAACTTGGGCCGAGTGGATTTCAATAGAATAAAGAAGAAGAAAGGCATTTCAGAAGCTAGGAATATCATATATAAAGGTATAAAGCAACAAATAAGGTGAAAAATATAAAAATGTGCATGAAGACTGAGGGAGAAGAGAACCCAGTGGCAAAGCTGCATCCTTGTTTCTTGTTACTGTGTGAAGTCAGCAGTCATGAGTGTACCGAAAAGATGCTCTGGCTGAGAGGGGACCTGGTTCCACCCCACCCTTACCGTGAGGGTCCCCGCTGGGAGCCTCCGCCCGATCAGAACCAATTGTGCTCCGACTGCGCTCCGACTGCGTCAGCGCTACAATGTGAGGCAATTCTCCTCCCGACGTCAGGCTTCCAATATGTGAAATAATAATGTTGGTTTAAACGTTTTTAAAGCCCCTAAGTCCAGGCAGATCTCATGAATATAAATTGGACAATACATATTTGTCATTTCACTGAAGGATAATTAAAAAGTAATATATAAACTAACAAATTATTTTACAAAAGTAAAACGAACGAAAAGGATTATTAACATGTTCTCTCTCTCTCTCTCGTCTTTATTTTTCTTAGGTTTTCCCAATGGATTCTCTAACAAAATCAATCAACCGTTTTGCCCTGGAATTTAGCAGAAAAATAGCTGAATCTTCTGAGGGCAAAAATATTTTCTTTTCTCCCTGGGGCATCTCAGCCTCCTTGGCCATGGTGTGTTTGGGGACCAGAGGGAACACTGCTTCCCAAATAGCCCAGGTGAGTGGCGAAGCTTAGCACCCTCTGTCGCCTTGAGACCGAATGCCGTCTTTACCTTTTAGCTTCATTTTTCTCTGAAATTCCAAATAGCTCACATTTTATAACCATATCCTCCAAAACTAAAGATGCACTTTAAAAAGTTTTCTAGCCCTGGCCGGTTTGGCTCAGCGGTTAGAGCGTCGGCCTGCGGTCCAGAGAGACCCGGTTCGGTTCCCGCTAAGGGCATGTACTTCGGTTGCAGTTTGTCCCCGGCCCTGGTTGGGTTGCGTGGGTGGCAACCACTCGATGTGTCCCTTTCACGTCAATGTTTCTCTCTCTCTCCTACTCTATCTGTCCAAAAAATGGAAAAATGTCCTCGGGTGAGGATTAAAAAAAAAAAATTTTCTAGACCATAAAAAGAAGCCTGGGAAAGTAAGTCGATTCGCTGGGGAAACCATTTAAGAACCTGTGTTCTCTAGCAAAATCATACAGAGATGATGAGCTCATCAAGTCTGATTCAACATCAAAAATAATTTTATTTGGATTATCGAGACATTTCAAGAAGTTGTGGCTCAACTTTAAAGAGTAGAATTAGTATGTTTTAAATTTCAGAAGAACTTTTTTTTTTTGGTATGTGCCCCTAGCGGGAACTGAACCCAGGACTCTCTGGTGCGCAGGCCAACGCTCCAACCGCTGAGCCAAAACGGCCAGGGAAGAAGAATTTTCCTGAAAACACAAATAGAAAAATCAAGTGAATGCTCTTCCTTGTACTTTGCTTGTTTCTTTTTTCAACCCCTGTTTGGCTGGATGAATATAAAAAGCCCATTAGGACCATGAAAATGCAAAACAATATTATTCTATCAGCAATTACTGGTTTGCTGTAATCATCCTCAAAATGGCGTGTTTATGTGTGTATGTGTAACCATAAAGTACTTAATAAAATAACCACACACCTGTGTGTATGTATGAATGTGTAAACTCATACATATATGTGTGTGTATGTTTTATTATTTTGTATTTTTTTTAACTGATTTAAGAGAGAGAGAGAGAGAGAGAGAGAGAGAGAGAGAGAGAAACATTGATGAGCTCTGGCTGGTTTGGCTCAGCAGTTAGAGCATCTGCCTGTGGTCCAGAGAGACCCGGGTTCGGTTCCCGCTAAGGGCACGTACCTCGGTTGCAGTTTGTCCCCGGCCCCGGTTAGGGTTGTGCGGGAGGCAACCACTCGATGTGTCCCTTTCACGTCAATGTTTCTCTCTCTTGCTCCCTCCCACTCTATCTGAACACAAAGAAAAAAATGTCCTCAGGTGAGGAAAAAATAAAAAAAAAGAAAGAAAAACATTGATGAGAGAGAAACATTGATCGGCTGCCTCTTGCATGCCCCTTACTGGGCAATCCTGCAACTTGGGTGTGTGCCCTGACCAGGAATTGAACCAGTGACCTCCTGGTGCATGGGATAACACTCAACCAACTGAGCCACACTGGCCTGGCAGTGAGCACGTTTTAAAGAAATACACAAAAGAGTAAATCCAGCCCTAAGTCATACAACAACGAAAAGACCGAATGACAGAATTCCCACCCAAGAAGGTGTCTTCTGTGCCAAATATGGACAAGGGGACAGCCAGTAATTCTGAGTAAGACAGGCAGAATACATATTCTGTGAGTTTAGGCTTAGGCTATCAGCCGTATTCTTGTAACTCACAAGACACTGTGTGGTTTAGAACAGCATCTTAACCTTGGATGAATTCCAGTTTGGGTCTATTTCCTATAAAGCTCTGGCTGGATTCGTCGCTCGCCCTTGTTTGGTTTGGTATTTATTTAAACATCGACAGCTTCGGTTTGCACCCCCTTCTCCCTATTGCCAGCAGAGCCGGTTCTGCTACCGGGCATAGCACAAGCTTCCGTCTGGCAGAGTTTGCCCCTCACTGAGCTGGGTCCAGGACTGGAGACGGAACTGTCGCCTTGGTTTTGACTGTTGTACAACCCGAGGGAAACAGGGAGCCCACATCCTTCCTGTTAACCTGCAAAGAAAACTCTGGGGTGAAAAGAAAGAATGTGTCCGTATATCAAGTGGTGAAAGACAGTGGGAATGGAACCACTCACCTAGGAAAAACATAAGTAAAAACCCTGCATTTTCCAGATAATTGGGATCGTGGTGACTTTTGCTTAAATTGTTAAATAGTAATCTCAATTGAACACCAGAACAACCATAGATAAAAGTGAAACTTGGGGAACAAGAGAATTTTACCTCAAAGGGCATTCCCAACATCATCCTAAATGTCCTATTAAAAGTACAAAAATTAAAAGCAACTTAAATTAGACTTTAAAAAAATGTATTTAGCCTGGCTGGTGTGGCTCAGTGGTTGAGTGTTGACACACGCACCAAGAGGTCTCTGGTTTGATTCCTGGTCAGGGCACATGCCCAGGTTGTGGGCCCAATACCCAGTGGGGGGCATGCAGGAGGCAGCCAGTCAATGTTATCTCTCATCAATGTTTCTATCTCTCTCTCCCTCTCCCTTCCTCTCTCTCTCAAATCAATAAAAAAAAATTTTTTTTAAATTTATTTAAAAGTAACTCTTGAATTATTATACTAGTTTAGCCAACATACAATTAAATCAAATCAGAGCCCCCTTGGTTCATTAATTATATGTTCTATAGCTACAGGAATGACTGACATATTTATCAAGGTGTGTTTCATATAATTATGTCTCTGCATAGAGCACTCAAGTATTCTCTTTTTATTAAATTACAGGTGCTTCAATTTGATAGAGATCAGGACATGATGTCTTGTCCTGAAAGTAAAAAGAAAAGGAAAGAGGTATGTTTTACATTTTAATATCCATTTGATGATGAAAGAGAAACCCCTTTTAGTACTTGCATGTTAGTGGCTAATTTAAGCAACTTCACCGAGTAAATATTCTTAGCAATGTATATTGAAATTATAAGAAAAAAAGTTTTATAATACAAAATGTCTACACTTTTTGGAAGGGTCATATATATATATTTTTTCTGTTTTGTTATCTGTCTTTTTTTTTAAAATTAATTTTTGTTACAGATGTTTCTCCTTTTCCCCCCACTGATTCTCCCCTCCTCCTCCCTCCCTGCCCTTTCCCCAGTTTGTTGTCCATGTCCACTGTTCATGCACACATGCATATAAGTTCTGTGGTTTATCTCCCCCCACCACCCCCCACTTTAGGGGATTGTCAGTCTGTACCCCACTTCCGCGTCTCTGGGACTACCCCATTCCTCAGACTGTTATGTTCATTATATTCCACAAATAAGTGAGATCATATGAAACTTGTCTTTCTCTGTTTGGCTTGTTTCACTTAGGATGATACTTTCAAGGTCCCTCCATGTAGTCTCAAAGGATAAGAGATCTTTCTTTCTTACAGCTGCGTAGTACTCCATTGTGTATATGTACCACAGCTTTTTGATCCATTCATCTACTGATGGACACTTGGGCTGTTTCCAGATCTTAGCGATTGTAAATAGTGCTGCTACAAACATGGGGTACATATATTCTTTCTGATTGGTGTTTCAGGCTTCTTAGGGTATATTCCTAGAAGTGGGATCACTGGGTCAAATGGAAGATCAATTTTTAATTTTTTGAGGTAACACCATATTGTTTTCCATAGTGGCTGCACCAGTCTGCATTCCCACCAGCAGTGCACTAGAGTCCCCTTTTCTCCACACCCTCGCCAACACTTGTTGTTTGATGATTTGTTGATGGCGGCCATTCTGACAGGTGTGAGGTGATACCTCATTGTTGTTTTAATTTGCATCTCTCTAATGATTAGTGATTATGAGCATTTCTTCATATGTTTCTTAGCCATTTGTATGTCCTGTTTGGAGAGGTGTCTATTTAGTTCCTCTGGGAAGGGTCATATTTTTTAAACCTTATCTCTTTTCCTCTGTTGTCTCCCCTTCAAAACTACTCTACTTTCAAAATTGTTCCTGCTTTTGCAAATCAATGTGAAGAAAACGATGCCCTAGATTATGTTTATGTTTTTTTGTTTTTTGCACGGACAGCGTTAGAGGGAAAATTGGATCTTCCCTGGAACTGATTTTAGCTTTTGTTCACAATACACCAATCATCTCATTTAGGTTGTTCTTATGTGTGGGCAGCTCTTGGCAGTGTTTTTATTTGACGAATCCATTTTCTTTTAAAGGATTTCAACTTGGGGAAGGTTGAAGAAATATGTTTGGATTTCCAGAAACTCATCTCTGAAATCAACAACCCCAGCAATGCCTATGTACTTAAAACAGCCAATGGGCTATATGCAGAGAAAACTTATCCATTTCAAAATGTAAGTACAACGACGTTATTTAAAGCTGAGGGGCAAGAAAGAGCCAGGTGAGACCAACCAATGAATCTTTGTTCATTTCTCTAGGGATCCCAGGTACAACCTTCATATGGTCAGCATTTCTGATAAACAATCACTTAGACCAACCAATAAGTGTCTGATTGTGAAGAAAACGATAATAGGTCTCAAATCAGGTCTAGCAATCAGATCTTCATCCTAAGTAACATATAAACGTGGTTTCACGGGAAATGGAACAAAACGTGCAGGGTGTAAACAGGGTAATGGTGCAGAGGGTGGTGTCGGCATAGCAGTGTGCCTGGAGACTGTGTACGAGAGCAAAGCTGACATTAGAATCAGATGAGTCTTTCCCCATCATGCCTTTTGAGACTTTGAAAAGACTCTTAACATGGAAGAATATCAACTTCACCCCTTCTCCGATGGTCAGAACCCTCAGTGCAGACCATGACTTTATCCCCAATTCAGACTCCGGGGCTCCTCAGAGGGGTCCCCCCAGAGCCAAGACAAGCATTTGCCTTTCTTTTTTTTTTTTTATCCTCACCCGAGGACATTTTTCCATTTTTTGTTCAGGTAGAGTGGGAGGGAGAGAGAGGAACAGAGAGAGAGAGAGAGAGAAACATCGACGTGAAAGGAACACATCGAGTGGCTGCCACCCGCACAACCGACCAGGGCCGGGGACAAACTGCAACCGAGGTGCATGCCCTTAGCGGGAACCGAACCCGGGCCTCTCAGGACTGCAGGTCGACGCACTAACCGCTGAGCCAAACCTGCCAGGGCGCATTTGCCTTTCTCATATTTGTCTATGGCAGCTTAGGGCACATCTCAGAAAGGAGCAGGAGGACACCGGTGTCCAGTGGGCAGAGGCAAGGGCAATGGATAGAGTGGAGGGGCAGTAATAGACACAATAAAGCTCTCTTGAGATGCCAAGCAGTGATGTGGTAGCTGCGGGGGTGGGAGGGGCTTCCTTCTAGCAAAGTTTGAAGGTGGGGGATGGGGATGGGGGTGGAGTCTTTGATCAAACAGGAGTGGGGAAGAGAGAAGGGGGCGATGGCTGTGTGTGTGTGTGTGTGTGTGTGTGTGCGTGCGTGCATCTGCGGGCAGTTGTTCCTTTACCTAGTTTTTTGGATAACCTAAAGAAACTTGACTTCTCAGTTCTGAAAAAACTCTACAGAAGAAGATTTTACCTGTATCTTTCAGAAATACTTAGAAGACATGAAAACATGCTTTGGTGCAGAACCACGGTCTGTTAACTTTTTGGGAGCTTCGGACCAAATCAGAAAGGAGATCAACGCTTGGGTTGCAAGCCAGACCGAGGGTAAGCTCCCACCCAGGTGCCCGGCTGAGTGCTCTCTCCAAGCATCGTTGTATTGCGTCGTCCACAGCGCTATTGCCATGAACTCTGTCGCTGCATTTCACCTGCCTGCCTCGCGAGACCCCAGGACCCCAGGACCCCAAGCACAGTAGCTGCCACATTCCAGTCTCAGCTTTGACGCACTACATACAGCAGGCCCGCTCACAGCCGTGGTCTGAGACATTCATGTTCTTTGGCATGAATTGAGGAAGGTGGCAACCGTGAATTCTCAGTTCCTTTTTCACTGAGCTAGTGACTCAAAAGCCACGGTGAGCCAGAGTGAGCATGACACTGACTTGGTGCCGATTTGCAGTCATCCCGTAGCGGGGCGATTTGTTTGGAGTTAGAATTAGCTGGCGTTTACTGAGTACGTGCCCTGTTCCTTTGCACGAGGACCACATGGGATTGTAGAAGGGAATCACGTGGGAGCCACAGCTCACATTCAACATGCAGAGGTGAGAGGGAGAACAGTGAAGGACTGAACTAGACCTCTTGCCTCAGATTTCTAGCCTAGTGGCTAGTATGTTTTCTGGAAGACAGATGGGAACCCTACAGAGAAGGCGGCTGGGAGCAAGCAATCTGCTGATCTGCTATCTCTGCACCCCGCGAAGCCTTTCAGTCTGAGAGGAGACTCGTCATCGGGTGCTGCATAGCTTGGTCCTTGTCATGTGTCCCCAGTATAGACTGACACACTCAAGGAGCATACCTGTCTAGAGGACAGAGCTGTCCAGGAAATCTGGTGGTGACAAATGCGCCATACCTCCACCCTGCCCAATTTGATAGTCACATGTTCTTTCCACGTGTGAATAGAGATGGTTCAAAATGTAGCTCACTCGGCCGAGGAACTGATTTTTAACTGTAGTTCATTTTGATTAATTTAAATATAAGTAGCATTGTGTGTCTGGTGGCTACTGTATTCGACAACATAGAAGATCTGTGTTAGAACTGAACGAACAAATACTTTAAATGATGGAGGAGAGAGGGACCTTCAGAGTATGGTCACTATGTGGCCAAATTACAGGATGGGCACCCTTTGAAAAATTCTCTGCTGTCATGGCACTCACATGAGAGGTCCCCGTCACCCTGCGCATGGTCAGAATCCTTTATGAAGTCTCTGCACCCCTCCAGCTGGCCCTGTGGACTCTATTTCTTAGAAGTGGAAGCTTCACTGAGGGAGAAAGCTGAAATCTTTCTGTATGTTCTTTTACGTATTGCACACAAACATCTACTACTGGGGGGCTATTCAGCAGCAAGTTAAATGAAGAATTGATTAGCCAGGCTGGTGTGGCTCAGTGGATTGAGCATTGTCCCATGGACTGAGAAGTCCTGGTTCGATTCCCAGTCAGGGCACATGCCTGGGTTGCAGGCTTAATCCCCAGTACGGGGTGTGCAGGAGGCAGCAGATGGAGGTTTCTATCTCTCTCTCCCTTCCTCACTCTCTAAAAAATCAATGGAAAAAATTTTTTTCTTTTTTGTAATTGATTCTAGAGAGAGGAAGGGAGAGGGAGAGATAGCAACATTGATGAGAGAGAACATTGATTGGCCGCCTTCTGCATGCCCCCCACTGGGGATTTGGCCCACAACCTGGGCATGTGCCCTGACTGGGAATCGAACCGGTGACTTCTTGGTGCATGGGTCGACGCTCAACCACTGAGCCACACCAGCCAGGCTAAAGACATTTATTTTATTTTTTTTAAAGAATTGATCAGCTATTCAGGAACTTTGACTTCGTTGTGTTCTTTTGGAAAAGTTGCTAGAAACTCTTTGGCCTCACCAAGTTCTGTCTGAACCACTTGAAAGAAGCCTCTTTTCTTAGCCCTTCGAACGGGTCCTTTTCCTTTTGCAAATAGCCGTATGGACTACTGGGTCACCCACAGTATCCAGTCAGACTCTCAAAGATAATGCCAGTCACACGGCTCCTAGCAAGCGAGAGCTCGGGGAAGGTTACTGTGTACTATTTGTAATCTCAGAATCTGTCACATGCTTGGCATGCTGGACCCAGTGTCACAGTAAGAGTGCGGGACTTCACTTGAGTATCTGCGGAGACAATGCCCTGTTCATTACCTAAAGCTCCCCAGGACGCCTGCAGCGAGTGGCCAGTGGGTGGCGCTTTAATTCCCACGAAGTTAGTAAAACATTTCTAGAAGAGTCGGTTTGCTCTGCGTTACTCTGAAGTTGTCTGTAAGTACATTTTGCACACCCCTGTCAAATAAATTAACAACACGGCTGTGTATTCAAGAGGCTACGCTCCTTGAAATCACAGGAACCCCGAAAACAAGGCGATAAGGCTGAAATCAACTGGATCTCAACCAACTCGAGAGCAACCTGTGTAAACCTCAATGTCTGATGTGTTCTTTGTTTGCGTCTACAACTCTATCAAATGGTAGAATAATTCATCTAGAATGACTCCGAGCTTTAAAAACAATAAAACGTCTGTGCAAAGAACGTATTTAAGACATGACACAGAATGACTCTCCATGTTGAATCATTAAGGACATTTCAAATTAAGTTTAATATACTGTCTTTAATCAGACAGAAAAACAAATATGAACATGTTTCAGGAAGGTTTCACATCAGCCTTGAAAGCCACATTTAAATTTAAGTTCTAAAAGCAAGAAGTCTGTTTCATGGGGGGAGGGTGTTGGTTTTGTTTTGTGCTGAGTAGACATGTTGAAGCTACACCTCAGACCTACTGGAATCTCTAGAAACTCTGCCTTTGGAACTTTTAAGTAAAGCCGCACAGTGTTTGTGAGACCCCCCGGTAGCAGTTGAGGGGTGTGGGGGCCTGTAGCTGGGGCTCCCAAGAGCTGGTTCATAACGCTTCAGGGGTTAGGACTTGACATATCTTTTTTGGAGGATACACTTCAGCCCACAACAGTAATATTCTCACAAAAATGCATAGCCCAAATATTACCTGGAGGAAACATCAAACACATCTGAACTGAGAATTGATGGACGTTCTTCCAACACTTTTCCGAAAGTGTCAAGGTCATGGAAGACAAAATTTGATGAGAAACCGTCTCAGATTAAAGAGGACTAGGAAGGAGGGGGTGGTGGGGTGGAAGAGGTCACAAAGGGGACAAAAGGTGATGGAAAAAATAGGTTAAATTGAAGAGAGGTAGAAAAAGAAATGACAATTAAATGCACCTTGAGATCTTGGATTAATTTTGGGTCCGGAAAAAAAAGTTATTGGAACAGCTGATCAAATTTGAATACGATTTGTGAATAGTATTCTGTCAATGCGAACTTCCTGGTTTGGATTCTTAGTGGATATCTCACTTAACAGTATTTCAGGATTATCATTTTTGTAAGTGCGGCCTGTCATCAGGATATAACTATACTATTTGAAACCTGTACTTTTGCTCTTGCAGGGAAAATCGTGAATCTCCTACCTGATGATGCTGTAGATGCTACGACCAGAATGGTTCTGGTGAACGCCCTTTACTTTAAGGGGCTCTGGGAACATCAGTTCTCAGTCCAAAACACCGCCGAAAAGCCTTTCAGAATAAGTAAGGTAGGAACCTTTTAACAGTCAGCATGGATTTTCACACGGTATCGCAAAGGGAATTCTCTTTTAAATCCACCTTTCTTTGTAAATATATGTTCTTATAAAGGATGGGTCTTACTAGGGCGCGGATGGCCCAGGTGGAAGCCCCGATTCCTCCCACTTTGAAATTCCCTTTGCATTGTTTTTCTCTTGAAATAGGCTATTTGTCTATTTTATCACCCACAACTAAGCTAGAGAAGGTAGGGTAGGTATTATATTTATTTCCCAAGTGGGAAATACAGTGTGGTTAAGGGACTAGGATAGAAGTCGACCACACCCAAACCAAAATGTCTTCACTATTGGTTCATTTTGTAACACTAACCCTATACTATCTTCTACCCAAAAAAAGAATACACCTGTGAAATGTCACCTCTTTCATTAAGGTCTCTCTGTGTGAGGACACACACTTGTATTCTTGTGTTTGCACCAGGAACCCATGATGGATACGTCTCACAGAAGCCAAGGGTCGGGCAGTGGCTGGGTCTTGGGATTTATGCAGAAACAAGGATTCAAATGTTGTCAGGATTCGTTCTCTGTCTTTCAAACGGTTTCTCCCATCATTCTTCTCCCAGGCTGAGGTCTAACGTCCTGGTCTTCCCAGTCCGCAGTGGCAGGACCCGGCCACCGCAGCACCTCCTCCGTTCTGCAGACAGAGAGAGCTCATGTCCAGTGCCTAGGAAAGGGACCGAGTGGCCAAAGATTGTTAAAGTTGTTTAGTGCTGGGTGGGTGGCCTCACCCAATGCTGGCGTCCTGTGGATGTGGGTGATAGATCATTCTCAATCAGCGGGATAAGGATGGGGAAGGGTCTGGGCACGCAACCCAGTGGGCTAACTAGAAATGAGCTGGATGCTCACCTTGGTATATTCACCAGGAGTTTTCAGTTGCAAGCGAGAGAGAAGTATTCCAAACTAGCTCCAGTCAAAGGTGAGTCATGTTATTCCTGACTTCTGTAAATAAGAGGCACTGACATGTCCAGGAATAGCGTCTCCAGTCTCAAGACATGATTTCAGTTCTTCTCCTCATCCCTCCCGGCCGCTCTGCGGAGGCATCTATTTTTAAAATCGGGTTGTTTGTTTTATTACCACTGAGTTTTCGAGAGTTCGTTATACATGTAGCACACCGGTCCTTTATCAGATGTGTTCTGCAAATATTTTCTGCTACTCTATTGTTTATCTCTTGATTCCCCTGGAATTTCTATTTTATGATACTGAAATACTTTCTCAAACGTTTGCATTTGAAATACACCTTATTCAGTTTCTGAATCACTGGCACTTACAGAGTTGGCATGAGATTACGTTCTCGTTTAAGTGTTTGGTAGAAGCAGCTTGCTATGATATATACACATTGGCACAATAATGTGAGAGGATGAAACCATATCACCTGTTAATGAAGTCATCCAGGAGAACACATATTTCCAGAAAGTGAGGTCTGGATAGTTTTATTCAGCATTTCAGAGGCTCACCAGTTTTGCCCATGCCCCGGACTCGTGGGGAACCGATGATGATACAGAACACAGGAGTTCGCGGAAAACCCCTCCAGTGACCTTGCTACTTGTTGCCTGCAGACTGCCAGCAAACCAGTGCAAATGATGTCGATGAGAGAAAAGCTTCCCGTTTTTCACATCGAAGAGCCACAAGCCACCGGCCTTCAACTCTACTATGAGAGCCGTGACCTCAGCCTGTTCATCCTGCTGCCAGAAGACATCGGTGGGCTGGGTCAGGTAAGACGTCACCTGTCTGATGTGAAGATGGTCCGGGTGTTCACCTCCATGTGGCACGGCCACCTTGTCCTCTAATTCCTGTAGAGGAAGGCAGCCCCACCCCCCGAGCCCTGGGCACTGCACCTGCTCAGAGTCACTTCGGCTGCACAGAGCTCCGTAAGGATGCTCTCACTGTCCCTTAGAAAGCGTAAGTAGTTGATGGACACATGTAGCATTGGGTAGCCCCCAAACAGCCACATGGACAACAGACACAGATATTCTTTGTCAGTCGCAAAGCTGTGTGGAGTGATCATCACAATCGTTCAGTGGGTCTAGGTTTTTCTTCTCCTTCTGGTGGGACCTACCTAATGGGAGATTAATTTTTTAATCATATGCCTTAATGTAGTGTTAGACACACATTTTTTTTTAAAATCCTCACTAGAGGACACTTTTTGCATTTATCTTCAGATAGAGCAGGAGAGAGAGAGGAAGGAAGAGAGAGAGAGAAACATCAATGTGAGAGAGACACATTGAGTGGTTGCCACCCGCACGACCCCAACCGGGGCCAGGGACAAATTGCAACCCAGGTATGTGCCCTTAGAGGGAACCCAAGACTCTCTGGTCTGTGGGCCGACGCTCTAACCGCTGAGCCAAACCGGCCAGGGCTAGACACACATTTTAAAACATTAAGTTTACTTCCAAAAATTTTAAAATCATTTTTGTCAAGTAAACAGTCTTCAGAAGAAATAATCCATATAAGTACCATCTTCAAGTATTATTTTAATTGTTTATCAACCAAACTGCTACTGAGCCTGATGTAACTTTGGTCAGATGACATTCCTGAGCAATTTGCCTGTCTAAACTGAACAGTGGTTTCTCCAAAGCAGGTGGTCTGTGTTTCTTTGCACAATAACCTAATTTTCCACGAATGCTAGACTTTTTATACTTAGACGTTTCCACGGCCCTACTAGTGCATAGAAAAGATTTCCAATTGCATCACGAAATCTATGAAACTGGAGAGGATGGTAAAAATCAAACCAAGCCACACCCTTACAAGATAAGCCTTTCTTCCTAAGAGTGCTGGTTTCTGAGCTGGAGATATTGTCACATTGTTCATGTGCGTCATTCACAAGTATGTCATTGTCAGCAATACTTGGGTCTAGAAAACTCTCAAAGTAGCAGAAATACATGCTTTGAAACAAACAGCTTCAAAAACTCAGACATTGCTTTTTGTATTTACATGCACATATGTATATGTATATATGCACATATATTTATCATTTAAAACATTTAAATACAAGGAGGACAAAAAGCACCCTCAAAACCACTATGAAGAAAACCACTACTCAGGGATAAATGGTGATAGAAGGAGACTTGACTTGGGGTGGTGAACACACAATACAATATACAGATGATGTGTTTTAAAATTGTACACTAGAAACCTATGTAAGTTTATTAACCAGTGTCACCTCAATAAATTTAGAAAGGTCATTCCTCTTAAGATTTGGAGATTTTCCTTTATTTTTATTTTTTGCATTGTTTTTGATTACTAAATTTATATTATTGTGATTATAGATATTTTATTTTATCTCAGATTTTGTGTTCAAAGAAGTATCTCTCTCACGTTAACAAAACAAATGGTCTTTGTGCCCTGCCACACGACTTATCCTATAGTGTATGCTTTCGTGTAGACGACATGTAAATTACATCAGTTTTGATGTAGTTGCGTGAATTGTTGATGTTTTTCATATTATCTATTGTAGAAGTACTTTCATTATGAATCAGGATCTAATTGTCTTATATCCTGAGAATTATCAATCTTCGATACAAAGATTCCATAGGTCAACCATGTGAAAGATGTCACGATACAGAGAATTTCCATATGCGTGTGTTTTGTTACCCTGGTAAAGGGAGTAGTCATGATTACTCAGCGTGCTCATATAGAGATCTCACTCAGTCAGCACTTCCCAGTCCCCTTCGGAAGCACTGACTCTGTCTCCCTTGGCCCCACCCTGCAGCTGGAGGAGGCCGCCACCTACGAGAAGCTGAGCGCGTGGTCCCACGCGGACATGATGGAGCTGTACGACGTGCAGCTGCATCTTCCCAGGTTCAGGCTGGAAGAGACGTACGATCTCAAGTCAGCCCTGAGAGGCCTGGGGGTGAGCGATGCCTTTAACCAGGGCAAGGCCGATTTCTCAGGAATGTCTGCAGCCAGAAACCTGTTCCTGTCCAATGTTTTCCACCAGTCTTTTGTGGAAGTAAATGAACAAGGTACAGAGGCCGCGGCTGGTACTGGGAGTGAGGTGGGTTTTCGAATCAGACTCCCGTCCATCGAATTCAATGCAGACCACCCTTTCCTCTTCTTCATCCGGCACAACAAGACCAACAGCATCCTCTTCTATGGCAGATTCTGCTCCCCCTGACCTGCTTCTCCGTCATCCAAGCCCATCTTATGATGTGAAAAATTCATCGTAAGATGAAAAAACAGTTACAATAAAAAATATTTGTAGTCTGAATATTTTTCTCATTTGAATATTAGCAAATAAATCTTGAAATAATGCATTCTAGTGATACAGTAATACCTTTATGGCTAGGAGAACGGCAATCTTATTTCTACCATCAAATGTTTTAATGTGATTTTTATTTACATTTCAGAAATACTGTTATTCAATTGAATGCCTCAGAATCCTTGAGCTGTCTGGTCCCTGTATTGTCACTTATATTTTACATGCATCTTGTAGTAAAGAAGAATCTTTAAAAAGGCAATGGATGTATAAATAAATAAGATTTTTTTCAGAAATATAATTTTGAGAGTTCATAAATTACCACTGGAAAATTAAATCCCCCTTTTCTGTTATCTATTTTTAAAGTATTATGTGGACATTAATGGGAAAACTAGTGAAAGCCACATGAAATTTGGAATTTCCTTAACAGCAATGTACCAGCGTTGGCTTCTGAGTTTTGACAAATGTATCATGGTCACCGGAAAGGGACTGGGCCCAGAGCGGGGACAGCCTGAAGTGGATGGGTTCATGACTTTGTGCAGGAAAGATTTCACAACACAAGTCCAGGTGATTTTGAGAGTACGTTTAGGAAAGCTAGGAATAGTGAAACAAAGCAAGGTCTTAGGGTAGAAGATGCAACAGGAGAGAGCCTAGGTAGGGCTGCTTTGACTCTCTACGAACTGCTTGCTGGTAGTCTCACCAGCTGTTATTCTAATTTTATTTAAAACATTTTTTTTTACCCTTTATTGATTTTAGAGAGAAAGGAAGGGAGAGAGAGAAACATCTATGAGAGAGAACATCTATTGGCAGCCTCCTGCATGCCACCCACCCCGGGGATTTGGCCCACAACCTGGGCATGTGCCCTGACCTGAAATTGAACTGGTGACCTCTTGGTGCATGGGTCAATGCTCAACCACTGAGCCACACTGGCTGTGCTGTTGTTCTAATTTTAGAGATTGATTGTATTCCTCTAGGTTGCTTTTTTGGACATTCATTTAATAACTAGAAGAGTGAATCTGACTTGAACAATATATACATTAGTATAAGAAAATGTGTGTTCTGTATCAAATCTTGGTTCAGTATTATAGTATAAACGAATGATTCTATGTCTTAGCTCCAAAGACAGAAAATTGTAATATATATGACATTTTATCATATCCTCATAAAACGTTTGCCTCTGTTCCTAACATCTCACATGACGTAGCAATGAAAGAAATGCCTTGCGGGGATTCTGCTCGCTGACCGTTTGCTTCCGTAGGCCGGTTCCGGTTTGCCCACACCCTCCTGCCTCAGCACACAGCTGAGAACTAGTTTTACTTGCAGCAAATTTCTTTGCCACTAGCAGAGGACACATCCCTGTATCAGCCATCCCTTCGAAGAAGTCTGAACCTCAGCCCTGGGGCACTAGGTGGCCCGTAGGTAAAAGTGCATCTTATCTGTACATGAGAAAGGAGCTTTTTTTTTAATTTTTAAAGAGTGTAGAGTGACCATTTTGAGAACATCTATTTGTATATTTTCCCATCATTAGATGATTTCATTACTAAATAGGATATTAAGACTCTCATGTATTTGCACTTAAACTTGGAAATATTATTTTGAAACTTCATTAAAATCTTCCAAACAGAAAACATTTAGTGGGCTTCAAACGGTTAAAATATTAAAAATACAACATTTAACAAAGTGGCTTGCAGGAAGAAATGATTTTCAAGAGGATGAATGGTGGTGGTGTTTTTTTTTAATCCTCACCCGAGGACATCTTTCCATTTTTTGTTCAGGTAGAGTGGGAGGGAGACGGAGGAACAAAGAGAGAGAGAGAAACATCGATGTGAAAGGAACACATCGAGTGGCTGCCACGCGCACAACCGACCAGGGCCGGGGACAAACTGCAACCGAGGTACGTGCCCTTAGCGGGAACCGAAACCGGGTCTCTCCGGTCCGCAGGCCGATGCTCTAACCGCTGAGCCAAACCGGCCAGGGCTGAATGGTGTTTTAATAGTGAGATTTCAACTAGAAATGTTTGCATAATTAGTGTATGGATTGAAAAAATCAATTGTCAAGGTTTAGTAAGTACAACCAAAGATGCTTTTATTCCCTTTAAATCAACCCGTTTCCCGACAGCCATTGATGACACAAGTTTAGAAAGAAACTGAACTTAAAACTAGGTCTTCAAATCCACTCTATTTCAAAGCCTTAAACAATGATGAAAACAAACACATCTTCAATTACACTAGTCTCATTAAATTTGAAATAATTTTTGTAAAACCCAAAATGTATATTTCTAATAAAATTTTTCTTTTTAATTCGTTTATGTTTTATAGTGTTAACCATATATTAGTATTTAACATAGCATATAGGTTCACATAGGTACTGGGGATGCATGCTCAAGAATTGTTTAGGTGGGTGTCCCGCGCAAACAGTTTGGGGGAAAAGGGCTTTAGGAACCATCTTTAACCTCTGGTTTTGCTTCTGGATCAATTTCAAAACCGAGTCCCAGTTTCCAAACTGCTCTCGCATGCACACACTAACCTGGAACTCTGCGCGTGCTAAGCCCAGCATGACCCAGTCCCCCGCCGGGTGAAGCACCGGGCACGGGCCTTCCTGCCCAGCCACCTGCACCCCGCTGGAGGGTGCGCGCGACGCTCAGGCTCCTCCCGGCTCCAGCCGGGGACGGGAGTCAGAATGCTCAGGCCGTGCAGCCGGGCTGCTGTGAGTCATCGGCCGGAAGCCCTGCCCGAAATCAAAGCGGCCGAAAGCATCCGAGATGGACCCGCAGCCGCGGCGGCAGGAGCAGGAGCAGCAGCCGCAGCGGGAATCTCCCAGGTACCGGGGCGGGGAGGCGCTGCAGTCTCAGGTCCCCACGCCGACCCCTCTAGCCCGGGGCCCGGGAGGACGAAGGCAGATAGGGGACACCGCAGGTGGAGGGAGAGGAGAGGACGGGGGGGAGAGGGGGCCGGCAGTAATCGGGCAGGATTGCTGCCGGGCTGGGGTCGCCCTAGCGCGCCACGGTGCCTGTGCGCCCAGGCAGGGGCGCGGGACTCGAGCGCAGGAGCGCGGCGCCCGGCCCGATGCAGAGGGTGGTCCTCGGGGGGAGTGACCCCGCGGCCGTGAGGCCGCAGCTTTGCCATTTGGTCGCAGTGAAGGAGTGACGGGTGACCCAGGGGGCGGGCGGAAACTTTGGGAGATGAGTGGGAGGAGCCGCAGGGTGCAGCTGGGAGACGGCGTGCTAATTGCACCCTGGCCTGGAATTTCTGTACAGCCCGGGGCAAGTTCCGGGGTGCTGGCCATGCCACGTCCCACGCAAATGTTCCGGGGTGCTGGCCATGCCACGACCCACGCGAATGTTCCAGGGTGCTGGCCATGCCACGACCCACGCGAATGCCTGTCCTCTGCTTGTCCCTCTGCGATCCAGCGTGTTGGTTTCTCTCTTCTCTTCTTTTCTCCCTCTCTGATTCCTTCCTTTCCCCTCCTTTGCCCCTTCCTTGCTTCCTTTCCTTTTTCAATTTATCTTCCATTCTTTGTCCTTTTCCCCCTCTTCCATCTGTTCAACGACTGCTCTTCCTCACTTAAAAAGGTGCGTCCTCACCTGTCTGTCGCCTTCTCCGCAGCACCCATCCTACCTACGGAATGGAGTCCTACATTCCTCAGCCCTGTCCCCCAGCCCTGTCCCCCAGCCCTGCTCCCTCTCCTTGCTGAGGCTGTTTGAGGCCCAGACTGGCACAGAAGTTCACTACCTGCTGGCCTCCTCCTCCCTGGTCCCTGGGTCTCCCCACACACCTTCCGACTCTCCCAGAAGGTCCCTGATTCCCTGGTGGCTGGGTGGCAGCCCCTGCCTTCTTCTCTTACCACCTGCAAATACTGGACATTCTCCAGAAGTAGGCGACTTTCTTGCCTTCTGCCGCCACTGTACCATCTGAGTGATGCCATCATCCATTTGCCTAGACTCTCCCCAAGTCCAGATGCTGTGGCCCCTCGCTCTCCATCTAGGACTCCTGCTCATCTCAAGAAACCTGCTGACCTTGGCACATGTCCTGTTCCGATCCCCTTGGTGTGGTGTGTTCCACACATTTCACCTGGAATGTACACCTGCCTCATTCCATGCTGGCTCCTCACCTGAGCTTCCTGTGGTCTGTGGCCCCTCCTCCGCATGATGAACCAGGAGTCTCTTAGACGATAAACGGAGGCATATTCAAAACGTTGAGTTTATTTGAGCAAATATCAGTTTGAATCCGGCAGCATCCAATCTAGCAGATAGAAAGGAGCCCACAGAGCTGTACAAAATGAAAGATTTTGTATTCCGAAGGGAACAGGGAACTTAGACTTGGCAAAAAGGCTGGTTGGTTATTGCAAAGTTACTTTCCTTTAGTAGCAGGGGTCTTTCAGGCAGATGACCTCAATAGTGCTGAACGGGTGACCTCTGGTTGCCTGTTTTAAGAGTCCATTTCTGGGAGAGCTGAAACTGTAACAAGTTCAGTCTTGGTTTGGTGATGTGGGGCTTTGCTTAGTGACTCCAGGTGGGGTCTGTTGTCTTTTAAGAAGCCTCCGTGTAGTCCTTGACTCTGCTGCTCCTGCCCTGGTGTGATCAGCCCCCCAGCTGGGCAGCTCCGTCTTCCACTCTAGTGTGGACGCTTCCTCTGTGTTCCCTGTCACTGATCTATGGCAGTGGTCCCCAGCTGGTTCCCCACTGTGGCTACGTGGTGTTTCTCTAAAACTCCAATGTCTTCCTGGAAAACATTTGTTTAAAAACCACGCATGGCCTTCCAGCCCATAGCTCCAGTTCAGACTTTTAAACCTGGCATAAGGGTCCCCCCAGTCTCACACACCCCGTCTCTCAGGGGACATCAAGCAGACCCGCTCCCTGGTCACACACAGATACGGGCCCTGCTACATTCTTTGCTCCTGCCAATTTCAAAACCATAGCCCTACAATGCATCTCCCCCGTTCACGGCCTTCCAGAAACTTCTGCCCAACCTGTAGACCAGCCCACCGCTCACCTTCGCCACCGCAGGGGCTTCTAAAGTGAATCCCACCTGCTTTCCTGCGGCCTGCGGCGCTCTCTGGGAATCCTGTCCAGAGCCCCTGGCCGGCTGGCAGCCATGCCTCATGTCTGTGTGTCTCCCCTGCCGAGGGAGCTCCAGGCAGGGATTATGGCTCTTATTGTTCATTCCCTTCCCCGAACCCATAGAAGGAAAGTTCCGCAGGAATGCTCTCCGGACACATTCACGTGGGGATGAGTGCAGGGAGCGGGAGTGGGAAGGGAGCTGGTGCGTTCCGGCCCCGGGAAGATGCCGCAGATGCACAGCGGGAGCAGAGGCTGCTTTGGTGGCCGACTGGGCCACTCTTGCCATGAGACCTGAGGACAGCATGAACTGTCCTGACCTTGCCTGTTCACCTGTGAAAGGGAAACTAGTCTGATGCCCATTCACGTTATTGGCTGGAAGTCAGCTCTTTCCACATTGCTGTGTTTTTATGGCAGCTGAATTGTGGCACTGGTACCCAAAGGTGTTATTTGGTTTTATATGGAAATGAATTCCTTTTTGGCTTCCCTGGGCAAGGTCCATTTGGTTAGGGTTCCAGCCCCCTCACAGCTTTAATGCACAAAGGAGGTTAGGTCACCCCGAGGAACGGGGAAGGGTCCTTGTCCCCCTGCTTCCCTGGTGTGAGCTGGACCACCCCCTCGGGGCGCTCATGTGTGCTGTCTCATGTGCCGGGGTGTGTCCTGGCTGAGGGACAGATACTGATGGCATGTTGAAAAGGAATGGAGGTGAGAAGGTGAGATGAAGGAAGAGGAAATGGAAGAAACCAGAAGTGGACATTTGTAAATAAGAGCAGTTAACATGCGAAGTTGAAATTGATGGGATAGATACTCTATTAAGTCCATTCTTTCACCTGTTCAGGCAGGACAGCTACATACACGTACAAACACACACACACACACACAGACATACACATACACACATACACATCGACAGACACACATGTATACACTCATACACACACAGACATACACATACACATCGACAGACACACATGTATACACTCACACACACAGACATACACACAGAGACATACACATACACACATACACATAGACAGACAAACATATATACACTCACACAGACACACAGAGACATACACACATACACATCGACAGACACACATGTATACACTCACACACACAGACATACACATACACACACACAGAGACATACACATACACACATACACATAGACAGACAAACATATATACACTCACACAGACACACACACAGACACACTCACATTCACCAGCCTAAGCTGATGTCTGCTTCACCTTGAGTCCAAGATGTTATACTCAGGATCAAATTAAAATTTATTTGATTAATAATTTGCTAAAAGTATAATAATTAATAAGCTGAAATAGCTGTTTACACCCCGCTCCTACCACCCCCACCCCTACCCCAGGGCCTGGGGGGGAGGGTGCTATTTTTCCTTAAAAATTACATTTTTAAAGGGAGGGCTCCCGGGGACTTGAGAAAGATTGTCTTGGTTATAAAACAGGAGAGAGGCTTTTCAAAATATTTCCATCTCCAAGGAGCAGGAAAGAGCTCAGGGTGGCAGTCGTCTGAGCACGGGCTCGAAGGAGAGGCAGGTCAGGAAGGAGGCAGGGGGACGCTGGTCTAATGCGCAGTCAGCCTGGGGCAGGTCGAGGTCGGCTTGTTCAGGCTGGATCCGGAGCCCGTGCCTCTGATTCCCGGTGTCTCCCTGATGGCTTGAGATTTGAGCTTCAGTTTCTACCACGTGCTTACGGGCTCCTTCCCAGCCGTCTCCGCAGCTCCGGTGCAAACGGTGTGCATTTTGGAGTCCCCTGATTCACAGTCGATTTTGTGTCTTCCCAGTAACCCAAATGTTAGGTCAGAGTACCCCAAGCAAACTCTCCCAATCTGTTGAAATCCACCCAGCTGACAGAACTGTCATTTTTATTTACAGAGAATTATGTTCAATTTGTAGAACTCGGTTTATAAATCTTGTTAGAGACACAGAACTGAGGGGCAAGTGGGGCCCACAGGGGGTTTGTGTGCTGGTGAGACATTCAGCTCTGGAGTCCACGGTGGGCTCCAGGCCTGTCTGTGGGATCCACACCGAGCTAGCAAACCTCCCTCCCTCCCCTGGTCTCTGACGTGCGCTGACACCTGTGCTGACTGCCCTTGTCCTTGGGGGGCTCAGTGAGATGGGACAGGTAAAGTGCGAGAACTCTGCCTGGCACAGAGGCGGGGCCATCCTCACATGACGGGAGGGAGCCAGCAGGTCCTGGGGGGTGTCCGGCCTCTGCAGAGGTCCTGCTGCCGAGGGTGGGACCAGTCATGAGCTCTGGGACTTACTTTGTGGATAAACCAGAGTATTAGTTACCTATTGATGCTTACCACAAATCGGGTGCCTGAAAACAACAAACATTTACCCTCTGACTGTCCTGGAGGTCAGAAGTCCAAAATAAGTCCACAGGGTGATATATATATATATATATAACTTTTTTTTCTGGAGGCTCTAGGACAGAATCTGTTTCCTTGCCTTTTGCAGCCCCTAGAGGCTGCCCGCCTTCCTCGGTTCGAGACCCTGCATCATTCTGACCTTTGCTTCCATTGTCACCTGTTCTCTGACATTGACCCTCTTCCTCCCTTTTATGAGGACCCTGTGATTCCATGTCATGATCCCTAATTTGATAGCATTGGCAGAGTCCCTAATGTCACATAAGAAGATGTCGTCACAGGTTGGGGACTTCGACATGGATGTCTTGGGCGTGTCGTTAGTCTGCCGACCACACCCGGTGTCAGAGGCCTTGGCCGATGTGCTTCTGTGTTGTGTTTTTGATACAGACCTTTCCCGATGGATGATCTCGAAGGAGCCAATGGCGCTTTTGCCATCAACTTATTTAAAATGTTGGGCGAAGAGGACAGTTCGCAGAATGTGTTCTTCTCTCCCCTGAGCATGTCCTCGGCCCTGGCCATGGTCTTCATGGGAGCCAAAGGAGACACTGCAGCCCAGATGTCCCAGGTAGGTGTGCCTGTCGCAAAGGAAGAATGACAGCATGCTTCCTTCTCCACTTCCACACAGCTTCTTTTCATACCTACCCCCGCTGACGAAGGCCAGTGTGGCTGGCAGGTTGGAAGCGGGACCTGACGGACAAAGGACAGACACTGGTAGAACAGGTACATTGTGTAAGACAGGGAATCTCCTCTTAGTGTTTATGGGAGAAATCAGGTCATTACGTTATTTTCTCTGGATAAAACATGCATGTGTTATAGCAAAAGTGTATCTTTGGAAGAAAGTAAGGGAGGTTATAATTCTGTCCCACAGAAAGGTCAAGGGTATAAACTTTGTTATATTTCAACTGTTTGCTAACATCTTTCAACTCGAAACATAGCTGGGTAAATGCACTTTAGTCGAATGCGTAACTTCTAGCGTGGGATTGTGCATAAGTGGACGCAGAATGCAACAGACCTGGGCTTCTGAGGTCTGGAGGCTTTTGGAGGGAATAGCTGGACCTGACTGATCTGACCTGGGTTATGTGCACCGGCGACACATGAAGTAGTGGGCAGTACCACAGGGAAGGATTCTTAACCTTTTGTCTTTGTTTCTTTGACGGTCTTGTGAAAGCGACCCAGAAAGTTGCACATGCCCATCCCCTTGCCGCTCACGCACAGACGTGTGCCCACTGTCTGCAGTCGAGTCCCGTGGTCTATTCCAGCGCAGCGGAGGACGGAGGCTTTGGGCTGGGGTGGTTGGGTGATACAGGAACAACCTGAATTCCCACTCTGGCTTGACATTTACATCGCAGTCTGGGCTGGAGGACTTCTGTAAACTTGCTGATGAGACATTTTCGTGTTTATTTCTGCTCATTCTTGAACTTTTCCTGGGTCCAGTGAGATCCTTTCCAGCTACCTATTTGTTCTGTTTTGTCTCCCTCCTGAGTTTTCACATCCTGCCTTCCTGGCCTGGGTAAATCTGGGAGGTATCCGGGGTGGGGGTGGGGGTGGGGAGGGGTTGGGGGGGGCAGATTTTGCCTCCCTAAGGCATTTGGCAGTGGCAGACAGTTTTGGTTGTTATAACTGAGAGATGCTGCTGACATCTAGTGGGTGGAGGCCAGAAATGCAGCAACACATCCCGCCATGCACAGGACAGCCCCCACAACGAAGGGGCCTGAAATGCCGGTAGTCTGGAGATTAAGAAACCCTGTGCCAGCCGGTGAAAGCAGACTCCTTTCCAGACAGGATCTGCTGTGATGTTCAGCACAGTGACTTGTTTGGAGGAGCAAAAGGGCAGGTTCAAGTCTGCTTTCTCTCACCAGGCACTTTGTCTGGACAGAGGTGGAGCTGTCCATCAGGGCTTCCAGGAGCTTCTCTCCCACGTTAACAGAGCTGATTCTCAGTACTTGCTCAGAACTGCCAACAGACTCTTTGGAGAAAAGACCTGTGATTTCCTTCCGGTAAGTAGTCGTCACACGTCGATGAAGAAGAAGCTGAACATAGAAACTACAGAGGGGCAGAGAGAGAGGATCACTCTACTACCTTAAAAGTTTGCTTAGAAGTATACCTCTGTAGCTATCATTTTGAATTTGATGATGGCTTCTGAATCACATCCTTTTTAAATTGTTTCTGGTATGTGAATCTCAATATGTCTCTCCTGGGGCACCCAGACCTACGTCTCCCCTTGACCTGAGTCGTTCCTATTGATGGCAGCACGTAATTCCAGAGTTCCCTAGCCCAGTGGGAGAAAGCCCGTCATGGTTCAGTAAGTGAGATTAAAAAAATACGCAGAGAGATGCTACCTTGAGATGAATGAAAGGACCAGGGTGACCCTGGCCGTCTTCTTGGCTGGCGGTTCCCAGGACTCTTCTGTACGACTCAGATACCCCCGGTGGGCGCTGCTCCCAGGAGGCTTTGCCCCTGCACTGGGCATAAACATCACGGGCAGTGATTCGGGATCCTCAGCTGGCTGGGCCTTCTGGGATACCACGAGTGATTCCAGGAATCTCCTGGTTAATCGATGTTCATTTTGAACATCAGCCTGATCTTTGAATCCTGTAACTGGGGACACAGGGAGCCACCCGCCACTGTTCTCAGTCGCTTGGCTCTCCTCTCTACATCTTCTCTCTTCTGTAGAAGTTTAAATATTTCAGAGCAGGAGATGGGCGGAGGATAGGCGCCAGGTGCCAGGCACATTATATCTGAAACCATGTTTTTATGAGGAGGCCAGTTATCTTTAATTGGGAACAGGCTTTTCTTTTCTTTTTTTTTCTTTTTTTATCCTCACCCGAGGATATTTTTCCATTTTTTGTACAGATAGAGTGGGAGGGAGAGAGAGGAAGGGAGAGAGAGAGAGAAACATCGAAGTGAAGGGACACATCGAGTGGCTGCCACCCGCATGACCAACCAGGGCCGGGGACAAACTGCAACCGAAGTACGTGCCCTTAGCGGGAACCGAACCCGGGTCTCTCCGGACCACAGGCCGACGCTCTAACTGCTGAGCCAAACCGGCCAGGGCTGGGGACAGGCTTTTCTTGATTAAACCCTACCTTACATTTCAAGGCTCACCTCTTACCTCTGTACTTTTCCCCTTGACACACACACACACACATCTAGGCCGATCACATTCCACTCCTGGAGGACCTGTAAGATTTCTTGATAATCCAGTTCTACCGTGGAACCTCCCAGTCATCCCACAGTATGTTTCAGACATGGGGGCTGGTGATGGAACAACGAGAGAAAGAAAGGTAGAGGGCTAGGTGGGGGAGGAGACAGAAAGATCGAACAGAAAGTCAAAATGCAGCTTAAGTGTTTGATGGGCATTCTTTGTGGGCTTCGGTGCGTGACCGTCACCGTCCACATTCTCAAAACATCTTGTAAGAGTCAGTGTGCACCCCACCTCTCTCACACCGGGGCCACCTCCGGTCTCATGTCCTGTCTTCACCCTGGTGTCCAGCGAGAGCACAGGGCCAGGCACACCGTGGGTGGTCTGTGCGCTTCCGTGAACTGCACGAGTGAGTGTTCAAGTGCAGGATGGCCTGTGCAAGCAGTCAGGTTGGGAACACGTTCAGAAAACAGACGTGTTCCCGCCGTGGGAACCTGGGCTGCATGGCGGGACCTGGGATCTCACACTGCAGGCCTTCAAGGAGTCCTGCCAGACGTTCTACCAGGCCGAGCTGGAGGAGCTGTCCTTTGCTAAGGACACGGAGGAATGCAGGAAGCACATCAACGACTGGGTGTCGGAGAAGACTGAAGGTGAGAGGCTTGGCAAGTTGTGAAGGAAAGGGGCGGTGGTGGCCTGGGGTGTGACCTCTACGGTGCTGTGCTGGGACCCTGTGACCAGGGGCCTGTGTGTACGTTCTTAGCAATTTCAGGCCAGCCTCGCAGCTGGGTGATTTTGGGAGGGCTAATCAGAGCCCAAAGTGGTGATTTCGAAGAAATGCTTAAACAGGGTGTAAGGATCTCAGATGCCCTCCCATCTGGGCTCTACTAGAAAACCCTGAAAAGATGCATCCTTTTGGGGGGTCCTGTTTATCTTCTATCTGGGAGGGCCCTTGTCCTGCTCTGAGGGCTGACTGACCCTCGACTTGGGTGGCAGCAGAGATGGGGCCACCTTTCACGTTCTCTCCCTGTGGTAATGGGGACAGCTCTGGTCTCATCCTCGGCCCCCTCCTTCTTTGTCCCGAGGCTGTGGCTAAGTTTGCTTTCAGAGTGTGACCTGTCTGAGTTTGCCCCAGACTCAGGAGCTTATGCGGGACCTGCTACGCCCCCTGTCCAGACCCCGTTCTGTCTCAGCAGAAATAGTTTTGCCAGTTCCTGACTAGAGTACAGAGAAAAGGGACATGCTTTTAAGCCCTCTGAATAGCTAACGTGTCATTTAGAAGCTTCCACAATGTGGGGAGTTCGATCACTCATTTCTCCACATGCCCGCCCAGCCCTCGTCATCCCACCCTTCAGTCTCTGGCACTCCCGCTGCGTGTTGGGTAGAAGCAATGGTCACGATTATGCTGACAGCTCATGAAATAATGACCGTTGGGAGGGAATAGTTTCTCTTTCACGCCTTTGTATGGGACGTGCGTTGGTCTCTCACTCCCCAGTAGATGGAGAAGTCCTAAGTCATTGGCAAAGCCCGAAGCTTCTCCACACCTCACCTTCCTACACCTGTCACGTCCCCTCCACGGCTGCTCACACTTTCTACTTCCATCGGGCTGGGCATCCACATGTTTTGCCAGAATATTAGAGCTGGGGAGACTTTGGGGATCACCTTGTTCCCGTTTTCGTGGGACAACTCAAGTTGGGCCCCTTCATTGCATCCCCCTCATTCCTTTGCTCCATTCACCCCATTCAGGAAGCCTGCCTTCTCCCACGGACAGGACTGTATTTCCCATTCTTTGGGATGGTCTCCTCACCTAGATGAGATTTGAAGGTTGGCTAAGAGCGACAACTCTCAAGTAGCACCAACCACCAGGAGACATTTGGCCAAAGACATTCTTGGTTGTCACCATTGGGGAAGTGCTGCTGGGGAACCATCCTCCCATACCCAGGACATCCCCACAGCAAAGCATTATCCAGCCCAAAATGTCAAGAGTGGTATGGGTGAGAAATGATGGCTCCGTGGTTGAGAGGCTTAGAGTTAAAATCAAGACTCTTGAGTTCCTTCTCCGCTCTCTCTTGCCACCTAGTGGCCTTGGCGAAAACATCAGGCTCATGAACCTGAGATTCTGTATCTGGAAATTGAGGGCAAAATTAATAGTTGACCTGCCTCCTTCAGGATTGTTGCTTGAGGACAAACAATACGCTGTGTGGGTGCCTACCCCGTAACATGATCGCCCCGGTTCATCGGGGGACTGAAAAGACGGAATTCCAGCCCGGCTGTCGACTAAGCCTCGGCGTTCTGTGTGGAGGGGGTTTTGGTAAAAGAATGTTTGCTCTCCGCCACATACGATAAACTTCCCTTCTGTTCTTCACAGGGAAGATTCCAGAGATTCTGGGTGTTGGCACCGTCGATCCGCTGACCAAGCTGGTTCTGGTGAATGCGATCTACTTCAAAGGCTGGTGGAAGGAGCAGTTCGACCGGAAGCACACAAGAGGGATGCCCTTCAAGGCCAGCCAGGTGGGGACAGAGGCTGCAGGTGCACTGCACCTCCCTTAGGGTCAGGTGCTGCAAAAGGATGAGAATGGATGTCACTCCTGTACGCCACACTATCGTGGTGGTTCATCCATTTCTGAATGTGTTTCATGTCCCCTCTATGGCTGTTATTGGGAAAGAAGAAGAAGGAAATGGTGTTTCTATTGATAGTTCCCTTTTTTTCATCCTGGATCACATTGACCTTCTGTCTCTGGTCATATTATTGCGATTGGAAGAAAATGTCTTCTGAGCCGTGACTTATGCTTCTACTATACTATTCGTCTATATTTACTTAGACGCCTTCTTCATGCCATTGACAACTGTGATTGTTTATTGCCTTAGAATCCATGGCTGTGCACTTCTGAGCATAAGAAAAATGGTGTTAACAGATGTTAAGGCTGAATATTTATTTTTTAATTTTATGTTGATCTTTTAAAGATAAAAATCGTGTATACTCAAGGTGTACAGAAAATGATTTGCTAAACATAGTGAAATGATTATTACAGTAAAGCTAAGTAACCTATCTCCCCACAGTTACCTTCTCGTGTGTGTGATGAGAGCCCCTGAAATCTACTCTCGTAACCAATTTCCTGTGTTCAGTTCAGTGTTATTAACTCTAACCATCATGCTGCACCTTAGATCTCCAGACTGATAAACCTAACATTAAAAATACTTTTCTCCATTCCCTGTCGTGTATGGTAATGGCTGGGGTCAATAGCTATTAGCTTGGAATTTGACCGCCATCAACTTGATAATAGCATATTGCACAAGGATTTAAAAGTCTAGACTATATTTGATGCAAGTTTTAAAAATGCTGGATCCTACACATCTTGTTAAGGTTCTCCCTCCGAGAAAACCAAAGCTATAAAACCAATTATATCATTGAGCAACTTTTCAAAATAAAAGTGTAACTCCTTCTGGCCTCTTTATCTTCTCTAACCCGATCCACTAGCCCAAAGGCCCCAATTTTAGTTAATTCTCCTCTCAACTTAGAAAAATAATTTTTAATTATAAGGTCTCTGTGAAGGCTTCATTATGCATTTTCTCAAAAGAGAAAAAAACAAAACAAAAAAAAATTGGCAAAAATAATGAGAGAGTTTCATGTCTGTCTATATTCCACAATTTATTCTCTTACCTTGTTGTAATTGACCTACTGGGGCATGAGCATGTTCAACTCATTACTAATATGTAATAATGAGGATTTTATATTTATCAGCATACATGCACAGAAGTAATAATTCTCTTCTATGTACTGAAGGGTTCTGTGAATTAGACATATTTTTAGGGAACGGTGCTCCTTTTTCAGTAACCTGATTTTAATGTCATGTTTTCATTAGGAACAAAAGACAGTGCAGATGATGTTTAAGCAAGCTAAATTCAAAATGGGCTTCGTGGAGGAGGTGCACAGCCAGGTCCTGGAGCTGCCCTATGCCGGGGAGGAGCTGAGCATGGTCGTTCTGCTGCCTGAGGACGACACTGACCTTGCCGTGGTGAGCCCTTGGCAATGAGCTTCAGTATCCGCGCGTCCAGCCTTAGCTCTTTCCTTTAAGTCCATCCACCAGATGGCATTTGAGGAGTTTTCAATTTGAGTTATTACAAAGAGTACTGGATGGACACCGCTGCATGTCTTTGGTGGGGATGTGTATGCATTTCTATTGCGTATATGTCCAAGAATGCAATTGTGGGTAAGAACAAATGTTGGTGAAGCTAAGAAGAGAGAGTTCCAAGAATTTAAGAGCATTATTCTGTATTCTGAAGACAGGGGCTCATCGAGGGCCCAATAACTGTTGGATGAAGGCACTGGAAAAGGATAGGATTGATCGGGGCAGTGTTTCTCCAAAAAATTCACGGGCATAGGGATCTCCTAGGAATCTTGCTGCAACGCAGATTTTGATTCAGGGGGCTAAGGCCTGAGATTTTTGTATTTCTGACAAGATCCCAGGTGATGTGAGTGCTGTTGGTCATGGACCACATGTTGAGTAGCAGGAGTCTCAAGTACAGGTGAGGAGTGTGCCTTAGACAGGAGCAGAGAGCTCTCTTCCCGTGACAGAAAAGGACGGAGTGTAGGAAGGAGGTAAATGTGTTAGGTGGGGGGTGCTGGACCAGCCGTGTGCTGGTTGTCTGGTTCCCTGGGGGATGGAAGAAGCTCTCATTTATGTTTGCTCATCTCCTGGTGCACATACTCCCACTTGGCTAAGTTGAGGTTACCAAGGATTTGGTGGTTGACTCTTGCCAGAGATCTAAGCCAGCACCAGCACACGAGTGCACAGGATGGGCAAGGTGAGACCCACCTGATTTCCCTGTGCTCTCCGTGGATCAGGAAGCTATGGACATAAATCAAGGATGGAATCTGTGATGGCTGCTTAAGAAGAAAATCAGGAGAGTCTAGGAAAAGAGCTAAGGTCCAAAGAGCTGTCATCACTGGGGAGGGGCACTCACCTGTGCTCCAGGTGGGAAGAGGAAGGAGAAGGCACAGGCTCCCTCTCCCACCTTTATTTCTTCCGGTAGATACATGGAATGAGTGATGGGTGTGGGAGGTTTTGAACCTGTCTCCAGGTCAGGCAGAGAGCAGATGTCCGAAGCATCCGCCCTGTGCAATGGCCCATTTCTGCGCTCCCTTCCCCAGAAGCCACGTCTCCTTGCCCTTTAGATGATCCCCGATGTCCTCCTTTCGCACATCGGAGTTCCGAGCCTTCTCTGTCTCTCTTTTGTCAACAGTTTCTCCAGTACACAGTAATGTGCGTCTCATGAAAACAATCCAATGGTTATGAGAATTTTCTAAACTAAGAAACATGTGAAATGAATTTGGTATAGATGGTTTAAATTTTTTTTTCTTTCTTTATTGATTTTACAGAGAGAGGAAGGGAGAGGGAGAGAGAGATAAAAACACTGATGAGAGAGAACATCGATTGGCCGCCTCCTGCACGCCCCCCACTGGGGTCTGGCCCCAACCTGGGCATGTGCCCTGCCTGAATGGAACAGGCAACCTCTTGGTGCATGAATCGACACTCAACCGCTGAGCCACATCGACCGGGTGGTATAGATGGTTTTAAAGAAAGAAAACCCCTCTCCTGTCTCAGGGGTTTTCTAGCTGTTTTACTCTTGTTTTCATAAAACAGGGAAAAAGAGCATTGGAGGGAAAATCTTCGTGTGTTTGCAAGAGGGACAGTTGCTATAGTCTCGGAGCAGAACTTGCCATCCAGGAGGGGGAAGGAGGTGCACACCGCGCTGTTGTCACCTAGATTTTAGGGGTTGACCCTGTCATTTCAGGTGGAAAAGGCGCTGACATACGAGAAGTTCACAGCCTGGACGGATCCAGAAACCATGACGGAGCAGAAAGTTCAAGTTTTCCTTCCCCGCATAAAGCTGGAGAAGAGCTATGACCTGGAGTCTTTCCTTCGCAGTTTAGGGATGACCGATGCCTTTGACGAATCCAAGGCGGACTTTTCTGGGATGTCAGCCAGGAAGAACGTGCCGGTGTCCAAGGTGGCGCACAAGTGCTTCGTGGAGGTCAGCGAGGAGGGCACGGAGGCGGCGGCGGCCACGGCGGTGGTCAGGAACGCGCGCTGCAGCCGCGTGGAGCCCCGCTTCTGCGCCGACCGCCCCTTCCTCTTCTTCATCAGGCACCTCAGAACCCGCAGCATCCTGTTCTGCGGCAGGTTCTCTTCCCCGTGAGGAGCTGCCTTGCCCACGGGCCCTCCTTGCCCTCCGCCAGCCCCGCCCAGCGCGGGGTCCGTGGCAAGGCGGGCGGCGAGCGGTGCCACAATAAAGCCTGTGCCCCTGGCGCGTCCCTGAGTGTCTTGGCTGAACGTCCCCAGCCGCCGACAGTAACAGGCTTCAGGGGCGTGGAGTTTGGGAAGGAGAAGGGGAGGCTGGTTCGGGAATGTTTGGGGAGCTCCTCCCTGTCACATGGACTCACGCACCTGCCACGGGACGGCCAGCTGTCCGCAGAGTGTGTGCCCATTGCTGTGGGCGTCTTTAGGAACATGTCAGGGATTGCCAAACCAGCCCTCCTTTGGCCTTTCCACCCCTGCCAGGCTCACCCGGAGATGCCAGTGCCCAGCCCCTGCACACAAGGCCAGGGGTGATGCTGTAGCCACCGGTGTCCTATTAACAGCAGAGGGAGCCCCCGGTCAGAATCACACAGACAGCCCTGCATGTCCCATGTCTCCCACAGTTCCTTGTGAAAATCACTCCTTCAGATCTTTTTGCCATAAACCTGATAGAGTTCAGGGGCTCAGCAGGGAGCTTCAGGGCTGAATTTGGAGGCAAATCCATGAAACACACCCAGTCCTCCCCATTCTCTCCCCTCCCCCCTTTTTCCTTTATTGATTTTAGAAAGAGAGGAAGTAAGGAGAGAGAGATAGAAACATCGATGAGAGAGAACATCGATTGGCCGCCTCCTGCACGCCCCCCACTGGGGATCGGGCCCACAACCTGTTCATGTGTCCTGACCTGGAATCGAACTGGCAACCTCTTGGTGCCTGGGTCTACCCTCATCCAGCAAGCCACACCTGGCAGGCCCATTCCCTTTGCTCCTGAAACATACACACCCCTGGGAAGGAACCCACGCCAAGCACTTCTTGGAAGCAATGACCCTCTAGTTAATCATATGTGGTCAGAGGTGCCCAAGCACCCTCCTTGCTTAAAAAAAGACCTCCCTACATAATGGCTTCTGATTAAAAATTTTGTGTGTGTTGTGGCAGCAATTTGGAAAGAATAGAAAAGTATGCAAAGGAAATTTGTCACCCACAGGTCTACCACCCAGCAATCATGACCCTTGATATATGTCCTTCCCCGTTCTATGTATGCAGATAGAAATAAGTTTTTATAAACATTGCAACACAAGTTAATCATGTCTTTCTGTGGGTTATTTCTACTCTTTCTTACCACTTTCTGCTCCTGTCCTTTTGTTTGCAGTAACACACTTATAGTATTTTTCATTCCCACACATATTCTCTCCATGCCCCTAATGCAGTTCCATCTATCTGTCTGCCTTCCGCCAAGCTGCATGGTGTTTTACTAGTGGGGCTTTGGAACATGTCTTAGTTATTTATCTCTGGAACAGAGAAGTGCTGTCAATTTTTATACTTTGATGTTAGATGTCTTTGGCTTCCTCATAAACCTTACTATTACGGGGCCCATCTACTTTCTTTTTATTTTAACCACAGTGTTTTCTTATACAATATTTCTCATTGTATAATTTTTATCACTATTCTCTTCTTTTATTTTCTCATTTCAAATGTTTGTCTGTTGCAACAGTTCTGCTTCAAATGCTTAGGTTGGTCAATTTCTTTGATAGTGTTGTTCTTCCTCAGATATCTGGTTTTTGGCCTGTGGATTCAAGTTGACCTTGGGTTATCAGACGTGATCAGCTGATAGGGGTTGAGTAAGGCTTCAAAGTCAGACTTTTTTTTTTTTTTGGGTGACATCCCATTTTCTTTCAGTCCATCAGGAAAATCTCATGGTCAAGTTGAAGCAGTAACACTCAGAAGGTACTCAATTCACCTCTTCAACTCCTCACGCCAACCAGGCTTTTAAAATGTACTAATACAACCTCAAGGACACTAACGCAGATGGCACAGGCTACTGATTTAGGGTTTGTTCTGAAGAAGCAAGGCCACCAGGAGCCCAGGCAGGGACCTAGGACACCTGGCCCAGCCTCTCTTGCCCGCAGGTGTCTCCCTTCCCAGGGAGCAACTGCGCACAGGGTCCCAGCCCCACTCTGCTGCCCACGGATGGCTTAGTGGTCTTGTTGCTTGGTAACTTCTGTTTTGTGGTTATTGTTTGTTTGATGGTTTAGTTCTCAGAATCCTAGTTTCCCTCCTTCCTTTAATTTCTTGAGCTGAGTATTGGGAAGAGAGTCAAACTCCTGCTTTGTGGCATCTTGGCGGGAAACAGAATCATCTTTTTAATGATGTTTGTGCTGCTATGGCAAAGCCAACACCAGCAAACAAAAATAGCTTATTTTGCCATTTACTCTTTTAAAAATAGAAATTATATTTTATAGTCTCTAGATTTAGAAAATGTCCGTAAATACAAAATCTTGGCAAAGATCAATAGCAATTCCCATACAAGACTGGAGGGCACAGAAATTGCTGAAACTACTTAGAAAAGCAATCTGGCATGACTTAGTAATGCTAACCACTTGCACATACTATGGCCAGATCTTCCACTCCTGGTTAGAGACCCTAGAAAAACTCTCTGTTCAAGAGGCACGTAAAAGCATGCTCATAGCAACATTGTTCATCATAGTAAGAAAAAGATGTAAAAAAAGAAAAACAATGAATTATTAAAATGATTGAATTATGTTGCATTCATGCAGTGGAAAGAATCGGGGTCATTACCTTGCTCGGCCCTGGAGTGCCATTCACACAGTCGGCACATTTCATACAGTACTAATGTCACCGATGTCTTCTGGAGGTTGTGCACATTTGTGCTGAATACCATTTGTTAGGCAAAATAAATGAATCGTAGCTAGCACCATAAAACACAATGCTGACCAAAAGTAACAAGTTAGGTTACATTTGCATAATGTTAAACAATAAGCAAACTGATTATTGTGCTGCATACATATAAAATAAAACTACAGAGAAAAAACAAAGGAATTAATGCAAAACAGAGACTAATACTAAATCCAGGGAAGGGAAAGAATGTGATTAGCTAGGTCAGTGAGGAACTTTAAAGTTATTCATGATACTCTGTTTCTTAAGCTGGGTAGTAGAAATTAGATATTTGTTCAATTTACTATTAACCTTTAAATATACATATATGTAAATCCATTGTTTTATATGCATGATGCATTTAACAATGAAAATAAATTTAACAGAAAGAGTGGATAAATCACAGTGTAATATGATGTGGTGAGAACCACCATCAGTTAAGAGACATAAAAGCAAATATTGCAAATTTAATAATCAAACTAAATGTAACTTTCCTGTTAAAAGACAACATCTTTTAGATTGGAAATGAAAAACAGCATTTTGCCAAATGTGAATTTCAATTAGCATTTCTCAAACACAGTGACCCAAAATATGAATACTGATAGGCAAAGATGTGTCAGGCAAATTTAAAAGGACAGCAGTAGTCAAGCTATTTATAATATCAGAATAAGTAGACTGAGGAAATGAATTGAAATGGAGAAGCGTTGTCCTTGGATAGAGAAAAGGGTATGATTTATAGGGACGATAAAATTTAAACTTCAACATGTCTCCTTCAATACTGGATAAATGAACCCAGAAAAAATAAATCATAGAAGTTGTAAGAAAAAGTTCAATATTACACTGTATTTTACACTAAGACCCATTTTTGCACATCACAGCTCTGAAATTAAGTTGTCGTGATGTAATTGTTCTGGTTTGCCATGCTTGCGTTTAGTCATAGAAGGCTATCATTTTTTTTCACTTTAACTCATTATTAGTGCTATTGGTGCTGAGTACAGTTGTAATTGTTTCTTAAGATCATATTATTGTTTGGCATGGAAAAATTATTGTGCATGCACAAATTATTGAAGAGAAACAGTGATGGAATTGGATATTAGAGAAGCAGACACTTTATGTCTGGGGGACTGAGTGCAATTTCCTATATTCTTGCGAAGCAGTGGCCATGGTTTGTAGGAGGTAAGAAGAGGCACACAGAAAAAGCTGTATGAAAAGATGACCTAGCACACGCCAACAGCAGAATCTGCAGAAAGGGTGTAGCGGCTCAGAAGGAAATCCCGGAGACGGTGGCGCTGTTTGCTCCTGTTTGGTGGTGTTCGGTGACACCCACGTGGCAATGCGCTTGAGGACGCAGTGCACGGTCCTGGCATCGGAAACCATGCACACCCATGGTGTTAGGCCCCGTCATGGTTATGCTGAAGTGTATTTTGCAAATATTTAATCTTCCTTATGAACAAGAATAAGATGTATTCAAAAAATATATAAAAGAACTTACACATTTATAGAATAAAACTTTAAGTGAAACAAAGTATCACATCATAATCTGATTGGCAGCACTTTTATTTCCTTAGTGGTACATGAAATAACAATGTATCTTCGAGCTGAGGTCATCTGGGAACCGATGAAGTGGGTCTAGTTTATTGGATTATTTCTTCCCTTCCCATCGTACCGTCTGGGCTGTACGTGGGCTCTGGTTGGGCCCTACGGCTCAATTCTTCTCAGTTTTCTCCGTTTCCATTCTTACCCTGAAAGAGTTCTAGAGCTTTTTCTCCTAGTCCTTCTATTGATTTGGGGAGGCAATCATGTTTTACACTTTACAATTTTTTTTTAATCTTTTGATTATTCCTTTTCTCATGTTAATGTTTGTGTGTGTCTAAGGGTGTAGAAGCATGTGTAACAGCTTCTAGAATTAGCTAAAGATATTAATTGAAATTGTTTAATGTTCTCGTCTAAGTTCTTTCCTCCAGATCAGCTCTGATGAGTGTCAATATTGGTCCTTCTGTGGTCAACCAATGAGTCAAAGGTTTTCAGCTGAGGAGGAATGCACCTACATGTGCAATTCCTAAAGATTATTTGGACTGCTACATGGGGAATGAAATCAAGGGGGCGAAAGCAGGAACGAGAAGCCCAAAACAAGAGGAGGGCTGTTCACACTGGATTAGCAGGGAAATACATGTAGGACAGGGACTGCATTAGTCACCTTTCAAAGGAGAAGTCAGAGGTCTCGGCGTTGCTCAGAGCATATCAGCATACTCGTGGGGGGGTGAGGCCACGTGCAGTTAGTGAAGGGCGGAGCTGAGCGAA